AAGCGTTCTCTCTGTGAAAATTCCAAGCACACGCCAATTCGATTTGCCCGTTATTTGCCGACCTCGAATAACGTGTGTATATGTATATATATATGTGTGTGTGAGGCAAATTCTTCTGCGGTTACAGGGCGTGAATGTAACACGAAAGAAAGTCCATGCCAAGACCATCCCTCTTGTCTGGCAACACCGAGTCGTACCATTAATCGCATTAGGTGAGCGGCAGGTCGCGTTGAGTGCTACGAGGTAAGTGGAACTATGTATATATATTCTCTCTCTCTCTCTCTCTCTTACTTGTAACGCTGTACTTCTAGTTATATTAGTACTTGTATAGTTGTTCTCTCTCTCTCTCTCTTTCTCTCTTGCTCACTCACTTTCTCGCAAGGGCATAGTTTCAAGCTAGCAAGTATTTACATTACAACACACATACTCTCTGAAATTCAAACCCCTCGTGATACAAAACCAGTCACTTAATATATCAGTCAAAGACGAGAAAGCTCCTGCTACTTACTATAGACTTTGTAAATCCATCACTAAATTGCCCTGAAATCGCTTTTCGTATACTATTTTGCACGTCATGAATATGTACCTTTGATGGGTAATTATACTCAATCATTGATAAAATGATTTTTATTATTATTCATTTTTTTTTATTGAGAAATTATTTTGTCTGACTGAAACCGATTTATACTACTGATAAGTAAGAAAAAAAAATATTATATAAACTCAATATTTATTTCTAGTACTAACAAAATTATTTAAAAAAAAGTTTGGAAAGTCTGACTAAAAACGACTTGTACTACTCATAATGTGATAAAACTGTAGAATGGCTGACTAAATATTTAGTGGTACTACTGAAACATTTTTAATACTGAGAATATAAAAATTATAAGTTTGACTGAATATTTACTCGTACTACTGAAAAAATTTCTGCTGCTACAACTGCTAGTAATGGAAACACAAACATTATTATTGGTCTGACTTAATATTTACTCGAACTACTGAAAACAATGGTAAAAAAACACAAAAATTATTATTAGCCTGACTAAACATTTACTCGTATTACTGAAAAAAATTTACTACGAAATAGTATAAAAATTATAAGTCTGACTAAATAATTACTCGAACTACTGATAAAAATTTTTCTACTAAAAAAATGTGAAAATTTCTATTCGCCTGACTAAATATTTACTTGTACTACTGAAAAAATTTCTGCTGCTAATGAAAATATAAAAATTATTATTTGTCTGACTAAATAATTAGTCGTACTACTGAAAAAATTTACTTTTAAAAATATAATTCATACAAGTCTGACTAAATATTTACTTGAACTACTAAGAAAAAATTTACAACTAAAAAATGTGAAAATTATTATTGGTCTGACTAAATATGTACTAATACTACTGAAAAATGGCTGTTAATAATAATAAAAACACAAATATTATTATGAGTCTGACTAAACATTTACTCGTACTACTGAAAAACATTTACTACAAAAAAATATAAAAATTATAAGTCTGACTAAATAATTATTCGAACTACTGATAAAAATTTTTCGTCTAAAAAAATGTGAAAATTTTTATTCGTCTGACTAAATATTTACTTGTACTATTGAAAAAACTTCTGCTGCTGATGAAAAAATAAAAAATTATTATTCGTCTGACTGAAATAACTACTTTTGTACTCCTGAAAAAAATTGCTACTGATAATAATAATAAAAACACAAAAATTATTATTATTCTGACTAAACATTTACTTGTACTACTGAAAAAAATTTACTACGAAATAATATAATAATTATAAGTCTCTACTAAATATTTACTTAAACTTAATTGATAAAAAATTTAACTACGAAAAAATTGTGAAAATTATTATTGGTCTGACTAAATATTTACTTGTACTACTGAAAAAATTACTGCTCCTAATGAAAATATATAAAAAAAATTATTATTCGCCTGACTTAAATAATTACTTGTACTACTGAAAATGCAAGAATCTAAAAATCCAAGTATCTTCGACTCATTGCGCGCACACAGAAACGGTAGTTGATGTCACTAAAGCGTATTTCCTCAATTTCCATAAGATATTTCATAAAAATGCGGCTTTTATTTTTATTTTTTTTTTTTCAACAGTACTTTGTATGTTCCTGTGCGAGATGAAGAAAGGAGACAGCGATCTTGCCCCAATGCAAGATAGGAAGAGAGAGAGAGGGAGAGAGAATACAGAGATTCTGAACCACAACCTCTCGACTTCTTGTTGAAGCAATATCACTGTGTGAAAAGGGGAGCAAGAGAGAGAGAGAGAGAGAGAGAGAGATGATGCCATTTCTATAGGCATTCATCATTCTCTCTTCTCTTCCAATGCATTTTCTCTCTCTCTCTCTCTCTCTCTCGGATTTCCTCCCACGTTCCCCTTCCATCTTTTCCTTTAGTCATTTTCCACGAGACTCGAGCCAACGAAGTCTCGGGGTCGCTAAAATCTGCATGGATGGTAATCTGCGAGGCTTTTAACGGAATATCGAATTTCGCGCGCCACGCGCATCGAAACTAACTATATATGCCAATACGCGATGAAAATACTCGCCTCCTTTATTAAAATTATATATTCTATTTCATGAATAACCACTATTTAATTAATTATATCTGAAATTCTCTCTCTTTACTTTGAAAATTGAAGAAATTCGCAAAAAAAAGTTCGGATAGCAGAATTTCAGATAACTGAAGTTCGGATCACTGAAGTTAGAGTAACAGAAGTTAGGATAACAGAAATTCGGATAACAGAAATTCGGATAACAGAAATTCGGATAACTTAAGTTCGGATAACTTAAGTTCGGATAACAGAATTTAGTGTAACAGAATTTAGTGTAACAGAATTTAGTGTAACAGAATTTAGTGTAACAAAATTTAGTGTAACAGAAGTTAGTGTAACAGAAGTTAGTGTAACAGAAGTTAGTGTAACAGAAGTTAGAGTAACAGAAGTTAGAGTAACAGAAGTTAGAGTAACAGAAGTTAGAGTAACTGAAGTTAGGATAACTGAAGTTAGAATAACAGAAGTTAGGATAACAAAAGTTAGGATAACAGAAGTCCGGATAACGGAAGTTAGAATAACAGAAGTTAGGATAACTGAAGTTAGGATAACTGAAGTTAGGATAACAAAAGTTAGGATAACAGAAGTTCGGATAACGGAAGTTAGAATAACAGAAGTTAGAGTAACAGAATTTAGTGTAACAGAAGTTAGTGTAACAGAAGTTAGTGTAACAGAAGTTAGAGTAACAGAATTTAGAGTAACAGAAATTCGGATAACAGAAGTTCGGATAACAGAAGTTAGGATAACAAAAGTTCGGATAACAGAAGTTAGAGTAACAAGTAAGGATAACAGAAGTTCGGATAACAGAAGTTGGGGTAACAACTTAGGATAACAGAAGTTAGGGTAACAAGTTAGGATAACAGAAGTTAAAAAAAAATTTGACTAATTCAAATTTAAAGAGTAAACAACGAAAAAAATGTATGAAAAATTAAACATCTTTTTTTTTCTTCTTTTTTTAAAATAAAAAATAAATGAAAAACGAATCAAAATGAACATAATCGAGAATTTAGTAAGCTAGGATAGAAGAAAGACGTTCAGAAAATGACTATACACTCAACATCGCCTCAGCATTAAACTTTCTCTTAAGTTGCAACCGTGTCGACATCTCAAACTTCTTCCTTGAAAAAAGTTTCTCAATTTACTTTTTCATTTTTTTTTTTCATTTTTTTTGTGCATCTTTTGTCGTCAACGATGTTTTTTTTCGGTTACCAATTCAAATATTTCACTTCCGATTCTAAAAGTATTAAATGTAAAACATTTTTTTTTTACGTTTTTTTTAACGCAAAAAAAAAAACAAAAACCCTTCCTATTATTAAATAAAAAAAATTTTTAAAAAAAGAATTAAATATATTTAAATACAAATTTATTTTTTATATTTTCCAAAAAAAAAGTTGAAACAAATTGTATAAAGAAAAAAAAAACAAAAAAGATTTGCGATTTTCGAAAAAAAAGGGAAAAAATAAATAAATTCAGTTTGTGTATATGAAATAAAATCTAAAAGTCGCGTCATGAAATCTTTTCTATTATTCAGGTGATAATGCGAAATGTAAGAAACCCTGTCATATATCATGCCTAACCTCTGTGGTGTATATTTGGTTAGCCAATGCACATGGGATAGAAGATAAGAAGCTTTTCCTATATTCCTCTGTAAACCCACTGTAATATATTCCCCAAAGATAATATTTTTATTAGTTTCTCTCTCTCTCTCTTTCTCACGAATTTCCACCCGAATAAGTAGATTTATTTTATTCGAAAAACAAAATCAGAAATTATGCACTTAATCTTTTGAATCATTATTTGTAATTTTTTTTTTATAAACATTTCATTGAACTTTCAAATTTTGCTTTCATTATATTAATTTTTTATTATTTTATATATTTATTGTATTATTATTATTATTATTATTATTATTATTATTATTATTATTATTTTATTAGTTCAAGAGTAATTAATTTTTTTTTCACAAAAAATGAGAATTTAATCTGTAAATTATCGTTAATTTAATTATATAGTGAAATCCTCCCATATTTAGGGAAAGTAACTTTTTGCTAAAAACGACTAAAAAGTAACAAAAATTTACTAAATATTTTACTAAATTCAACAAAAAAATTTCTGTCAATTCAAACTAAAATTATTCACTCCCAAAACAAATTTGTCACACCTTAAATTCTCCTATGAATTTAAAAACAAAAAACCCTTCAGAAAAAAATTTTGCAAAAAATAATAACATTTCTCATCTGCAATACACAATTTTCCTATAAAAATTTAATTCATCATATAAAAAAAGAAAAATTCGATTCAGAAAAATTAATCTTTTTTGCAAAAAATAATGAGAAAAAAAAATGCAAATATATACAATTATTGTAAGGCCAAATAATATAAGAAGATATCAAAAACGCGAAAAAAAACAAACTCACCTATGGGAATTTTTTCCGAAGACACGGGATTCACAAGAAACATGAGAAACATGAGAAAAACTGAATTTACAAAACAAAAATGACATTTTTTTGAATTCATCACAAACATTGGATAACGATTAATAAACATAAATATTGATGACCGACGATATAAACGTATCCGCGATAACGGCGGTGGTCCAAGAAAAAATTTCTTAACACCAAGCATCATCCGTTCTCGATGCTGGTCTGACACAAACTGGTTTTCGCTACTTAGCGTGAACTCGATCTCCCTTGAACCGCCCCAGCATCCAAGCGACCCCAGGAGCCCGTCTCCTCCCATTCCACCCTTTTGCAAGCATCCACCGACTCTCTCTCTCTCTCTCTCTCTCTCTCTCACTCTCTCACCATCATCATTCTGACTCCCATGCTCCCTAAACCCCCCCCCGCCCCCTCACCCCCTTACCACCACCCACCCTGCGGAATGGATCCCACTGGAGCTTCACTGACAACTTTTCCAACCTCCCTTCGTCCTCCAAAGAGGTTCAATGCGCATGTAACTTGCCATCAGATAAGAGCGAGACCTATCGCAGTAAGTCAATACTATTGCTGTAAATATTTTATCATTGGTGAAAATTATAGAAATCTACATTACCGCATGTTGGAATGATAATTTTTTTTTTTAATTACAGAAATCTACATTACCGCATGTTGGGATGATAATTTTTTTTTTTAATTACAGAAATCTACTGTACCGCTTGTTGGGATATTCGTTTTTTTTTATTACAGATCACTACTTTACCAAACATTGGGGCATTTATCTTTTTTTAAATACAGAACTCTACTTTATCGCATGGTGGGATATATTTCTTTTTTTTTAACCCTTTGCGGCACACATTTTTCATTCCATTCTTAAAATACAGATGATCACAACTATAAGGATTTTTGGAGTCGATGATTACGATTACGAATCTGAAGTCAGTTTTTAAAAATTCAAAATGGCGGATCCAATATGGCGGATGATTTTTTGAAAACTTAAAGCAATTCGCTTGAAACTAGTTACTCGGGAGTTTTTGATGTCTCTGATTACGATTCTGAAGTCAGTTTTTAAAAATTAAAAATGGCGGATCCAATATGGCGGATGATTTTTTGAAAACTTAAAGCAATTCGCTTGAAACTAGTTACTCGGGAGTTTTTGCGGTCGCTGATTACGAATCTGAAGTCAGTTTTTAAAAATTCAAAATGGCGGATCCAATATTGAATTGCATTAGATTTTCAAAAAGTCGTCCGCCATATTGGATCCGAAATTTAAAATTTTTAAAAACTGACTACAGATTCGTAATCAGCGACTCCTAAAACCCCCGAGTAACAAGTTTTAAGTGAATTGCATTAAGTTTTGCAAAAGTCGGCCGCCATATTGGATCCGCCATTTTTAATTTTTAAAAACTGACTTCAGATTCGTAATCAGCGACCCCAAAAACCCCCGAGTAACTAGTTTCAAGCGAATTGCATTAGATTTTCAAAAGTCTTCCGACATATTGGATCCGCCATTTTGAATTTTTTTAAAATGACTTCAGATTCGTACTTAGCGACCCAAAAACTCCCGAGTAACAAGTTTTAAGCGAATTTCATTAAGTTTTGAAAAAGTAGGCCGCCATATTGGATCCGCCATTTTTAATTTTTAAAAATGACTTCAGAATCGTAATCAGCGACACCAAAAACCCCCCGAGTAACTAGTTTCAAGCGAATTGCATTAGATTTTCAAAAGTCGTCAGCCATATTGGATCCGCCATTTTGAATTTTAAAAACTGACTTCAGAATCGTAATCAGAGACACCAAAAACCCCCGAGTAACAAGTTTCAAGCGAATTGCATTAAGTTTTCAAAAAGTCGTCCGCCGTATTGTATCCGCCATTTTTAATTTTTAAAAACTGACTTCAGATTCGTAATCAGCGACACGAAAAACCCCCGAGTAACGAGTTTCAAGCGAATCCAAGCAAGTTTTAAAAATTTGTCCGCCATATTGGATCCAACATTTTGAATTTTTAAAAACTGACTTCAGATTCATAATCAGCGACCCCAAAAACCTCCGAGTACAAAATATCGGTTTCCCTTTTTATACCTAAATTTTCGGTAATGAATTTTTTTTCCAAAATAATGAGTTTTTTGACAATTATTTATTTTAGAATTGTTTATAATTTTGCGTAAATATTGTTACTTTTATTTTCGTTTTAAATACAGTAAGGAAAGTTGTAAATAAAATAGGTGGTAATCTGGGTTATCACTGTGCTGCAAAGGGTTAATACAGAAATCTACTTTACCCAATGTTGGGGTATTCATCTTTTTTTAAATACAGAAATCTACTTTATCGCATGGTGGGATATATTTCTTTTTTTTAATACAGAAATCTACTTTACCTAAAGTTTGGGTATTCATTTTTTCAAATACAAAAATCTACTTTACCGCCTGTTGAAATATTAATCTTTTTTTTAATCACGAAAATCTACTTTACCGAATATAGGGATATTTAAGTTTTTTTTTAATTATAGAAATCTACTTTACCGTATGTTGGAGTATTCATATTTTTTTTTCTATTATCTATTGGTAAATGATAACTGGTTTCTTAATTTTAAAACCAGAGGGACTCATATATGCACATTATTGGTACGCGTAAATAAATTCTAAAAATCAATTACTAAAATTTTTATCCAATAGAATTTCGTTGGATATAATAAATAATTTTTATTGAGCCAAATTTTATTTCTTCGAATTATTATTTTTGCAAAAAAAATTTTTTTTTTCACGGTAAAATTCGAAGAATGGTTTCAATTTGAAAATAAAATAAAACTACTTACCGAATTTATTGCATTGGAGAACTCGATCAATCTGAAAAAAAAGAATTAAATAACATCGTTTAGAGTAGAAAAAATAGAAATTTAGAAATAAAGCGTGTATAATTATAATGGAATGACCCAAAAAAAAAAAATTCCCAAAAACTTTCAAAAAAAAAATTATCGCATCGTTCTAAAAATTATGGTTGCAATGAATAATTGTTTTTTGCAAAGAATAGCATCTTTAGAAAGGGAAAAAATATAAATTTAGAAAAAAAGCGTGTAAATGTAACGGAATGACCCCAAAAAAAAATTCCAAAAAACAGTTATAACTTCAAAAAAAAATTAACAAATCGTTCTCTAAAACTTGGTAATTATTTTCTTTGCAAATAACAGCAAAAAATAGAAATTAAGAAAAAAAGCGTTTTTTTGGAATTTTTTTTTTTGTCATTCCGTAATAATTATTCGCTTCTTTTCCTAAATTTTTATTTTTTCGTCTCTAAAGGATGTTGTTCATTGCAAAGAACATAATTACCAAGTTTCATAAGAATCCGTTAATTTCTTTACCGAATTATTACCGATTTTTGAAATTTTTTTGGGGGCATTCCATAATAACTATACACGCTTTTTTTCTAAATTTATATTTTTTCGCATTTAAAGAATGCCATTCTTCATTGTGAATCGAAAATTCACACAATTTTTATTTACATAAATTTTCAATTTAATATAATAGCCATTTTAATGCAATCACTTAAATTATTGAATTATTGTAAATGAGAAAAAATTTCTTTTCATTTTCAAGAAATATGATACTGAAAATTAGGAAAAAAAAATCCTTTGATGAAAAAATGTCAAGTCTTGCAAGATATCCTTTACATTTTCAAAGATTAATGATCAATTTTTTTATCTTTTTTAAAATATTATGAGCAAATCTCTATACGACTGTTTATAAGTAACTGAACACTCTCTCTCTCTCACTGAAATCGAAAATTTTTAGTATACTCTATAGTTCCATCTATAACCTAATTATATATTCAACTTACAATGTTCTTGGAAAAAGAAAAGTGCAAAGGGTGTAATTTTCGCACAAAACTTCTTTATGCAAGGAGAGCAATTATATGTTTCTAAATCTTTGGATAAATGAAAAATAATATTTCCACGATGTGTTCTAAAGTTTATTAATTATTAATAAAACTAAAGGGAAATAATTGGTAGCTTTTGCAATTTTCTTAAAACAGATTTTTCATAGTAAACTATAATACAATCATGGACATATTGCAAGGATCTTACACTAGTTTTAATCATAAAATTTTATATATCACTGGCCAGTGGCCCAAACTTTGTAAGCGACAAAAATTTATAAGAGCTTCTATCACATTAATTTTAATTTTATCATTATTCATACCAATGGTAAGACATTTGGCCAACTAACAATAATAATAATAATAATAATAATAATAATAACAATATTTGAATAAAAATTCTTTTTTTTTGAGAGCAAATTGAATATTCCATAAATACAGAATTCTTCGTAAATTATTTTTAATATTTTAATAAATCATTTAAAATTAAAAAATAAAATGTTTCGTTTTTTAATTTTTGATTTTCTCAGACCAGGGGCTTAATTAAAGCGATAAAATTAAATAATTTTAATATCGTTGCTGAGTGTTTATCACCATTTGTTGTGACCTTATTGACAATATTTCTGCACATTAATTTTATATTACATAATCGTCAGGTACTGTTTCATCTTCTGGTTAAAAAAAAATTTTATTTTTAAAATTTATATATTGAAAATTAATTTGTATTACTAAAATTATATAATACTAAATAATAAATTAATTAAATAATTAATTACAGTTATTAGTATTGTTAGAAAAAATTCAAAAAGACTGGGAAATCTGGTCAGCAGAGCCAGAGATTGAAATTTTACAACAATATGCAATTAAAGAGAAAAAATTTCAACTAGCATATGGCGGTAAGTTTATATTAATTTTAATTTTGGAAAATTTTTAAAAAATCTTTACCTTATATAATTTTTTTTTTTTTTTTTTTATATACAAAAATGTGAAATTATTTTTTTTCTATTAATTGCTGTATATTTAATAATGTAAAAAAAATTTTAGTTTCAATAATTGGTGCAGCTTCTGGTTTTATGGCAATTCCAATAGTGCATAATATTTTGAATTTAACAAAATCATCAAATATCACAAATTCATTTGATCCAATTTTTACCACTGACTATGGATTAAATGATGATGATAATTTATTTTTCTCCTGTTTAACTGCTATTCATAGTTTTATTTTAACTTATATTGTTATGACAATTATTCTCAATTCTGATATGGTATTTATGATTTGCAATCATCATGCAAGCAGTATTTATGCAGCCATAGGGTATAATATAAATAAAATTCGAAAATAACTTTACCCTCTCTTTTTTTCGATTAAATTTTTATTTAAAAAAAAAATTTAACTTTTCTTTTGTTCTAATTTAATTTTAATTTTAATTTTTATTTCAATTTTATTTTATTTTTTTAACTTATTTTTTTTATCTTAATTTATTTTTATTTCAATTTTATTTTATTTTTAACTTATTTTTTTTATCTTAATTTATTTTTATTTCAATTTTTTATTTTATTTTTAACTTATTTTTTTTATCTTAATTTATTTTTATTTCAATTTTATTTTATTTTTAACTTATTTTTTTAAATCTTAATTTATTTTTATTTCAATTTTCTTCATTGTGTACTTTTTAAAAAAATTTTTACAAATTTTTCAAAATTTTATTTAAGCACAGATACAAATTATCAAATCTTGATTATAAAAGAAGTTACTGTCAATATGAGAATAATAATTTTCAAAAAGAAATGGATAACGTAATTATTTTTTGTATTAAACAACATAAGGAACTTTTAAGGTTAATATATTTTTTTAAAAAAATAACATATTTTTTTTTTTTGCCAAAAGAACAAAAATTTTTTCCAATAGTTCTTTTTAATAATTTGTAATAAATAATTTTTTAATACGTAAATTACATGAAAAAAAATTTTTTTTTTTAACTAGATTTTTACGAGATATTCACAATTGTTTCTCATTGGTCTATTTAATAATGGTAATGCTCAATATATTTATAATAAGTATGACAGGATTCGCAGTAAGTGTTTGACAAATTCAAAAATTATTATTATTATTACTATTATTATTATTAGGTATTATTATTATTATTATTAGGTATTATTATTATTAGGTATTATTATTATTATTATTATTATTAGGTATTATTATTATTATTATTATTAGGTATTATTATTATTATCATTATTATTAGGTATTATTATTATTATTATTATTATTATATTTCATTATTAAAAAAATGTTTCTATAAATTTTAAACAGACAGTTCTGAACTTAAATCAACCAGCTGTTGCCTTTAAATTCATGGCTGCAAATTCTGGACAAATGCTTCACATTCTTTTTATTACAGTCCCTTGCGAGCAAATGAGTGATCACAGTAGCATGATTTCTCATTCAGTGTTAGTCTATTTTATTTTTTTTCTATTTATTAATGTTTTTTTCTCGAAGTTCCTTATAAAAAAAAAAAATAAAATTTATTAACAATTATACTAAAAATGTTTGTCGTATTACTAAAATAACAATTATGTTTGACTACAACTTGATTTATACTACTTAAAATTAATTTTTTTTTAAAGCTTTTAAAAAATAAGAATTAAAAAAAATTTTAATTTGTAATTTAATTTTTATTTAAAAAATTAAAAAAATTTTTAATTTAAATTGTAATTTAATTTTTATTTAAAAAATTTAAAAAATTTTTAATTTAAATTGTAATTTAATTTTTATTTAAAAAATTAAAAAAAATTTTAATTTGTAATTTAATTTTTATTTAAAAAAGTTAAAAAAAAACTCCCTAATTTATTTAAATAATAATTTTAGATACAAATCAAATTGGTACACATTTCCAGTAAGTTCCCGAAGATTATTACTTATGATAATGAAAAGAAGTTCTGAACCATGTGAATTTGTCTGCGGTAAATTGTATACATTTTCGATGAGAAATTTCGCAATGGTAAATTGCTAAAAATATTAACAAAAATTTTTCTACAAAAAAAAAAAAATGTGTTCAATTTTTTTTTATTAATGAGAAATTTTTTTATTTTCAAGGTAATGAAAACGTCCATTTCATACATTACAGTACTTTGTTCATTTCAAAGTTAAAATATCACGAAAAAATATATATATAATATACAGCACTACAAAGATAAAAAAAAAAAAATTATTTTATAAGTAAAGTATTGTAAAAAAATTTTTTGAGTCACAATTTATTGTATTTACTATTTAATTGTGTTAGAAGAAAAAAAATTTTGCGCACAATTTATTGTATTTACTATTTAATTATGTAGAAGAAAAAAATTTTGTTTTGAATAAATTTTATTTTGCATATTTTTTTTTTTATTTGAAATTTGTTTATCAAGAAATTTTTTAGAAATATTTTTTCAATAGTATGTTGAAAAAATATTTCTATTTTCTATATAGTGAACCTTTAATTCTACGATGACTACACAATTGCTGTTAAAAGACTGACTCACCGCTCTCGGTTTAAGAGGTGTGTATAGCCTACTTATTTATTCCACATTAAAACCCGATTCTTCCTAGAATCTCAATAAATGGTGTATAATTATATCAAAAGTCTCTTCGCATTTTACAAAAAAAAGGGAAAATTTAAACTATAGTTCTTGGATAATATCAAGAATATAATTTCGCAGAAAAACAATGTAAGGAGCTTTTAAATAATTAAATATTAAAAAGCACACGACATATATGCAAAAAAAAAAAAAAAAAAAAAAAAAAAAAAATATTAAGAAATATTCCTTATAGACAGTTACTAGTTTTTTGTCAAATGTGCAACATGAACATAATGCAAGGTTCTTATTATAATTTAAATTATAGAATTTCATATGCAATAGGACAGTGGCCATATCTTAATAAATCCCAAAAAATAATAAGAATTACTGCAATATTTTTTTGTATACAATCAATAAATATTCCTATGGTGAGCGGAAATTTTTGGAATTTTTTTTTTATATTCACGTTAATGAAAATTTTTTTTATCAAGATACCATATAGATAATAATTATAAATATGCAACATTCAATTATTTACACAGAAAATTAAAAGGCATTAAAATAAGCTGCAATGTTTCTTATTTTAATCCAATTTTGCTTATTTTAATTTATTTTGGTATTAAAATAAGCAAAATTGGATTAAAATAAGAAGCGTTGCAGCTTATTTTAATGCTTTTTAATTTTTTGTGTAAATTTTAAAAATACAAAAATTTATTATTTTTTTATTATTTTTCTATTATTATAATTAATTATTTTTTATTATTATAATTTATTATTTATTTTTAATACTATTTATTTTTATTTATATTAAAATTTATAAATTGTAAAACCTTTTTATTATTAAATAAGTATTTTTACATATTTAAGAAAATAATTGTCTTCAAAATTTTCAGTTCTTTGGTCTTTTGAATGCACTGGGCGATATAAATTTAACAATGGAATGCGTTTCACCTTTGGTATTTGCTAACCTGTGTCTCTTAATGTCTGTCAATTCCATAAATACAAGTAAAAAGGTAAAATTTTCATTTATTATTTCATTATCTGTTTGGTAAAAAATAATAATAATAATAATAATAATAATAATAATAATAATACTAATAATAAATAATAATTATTATTTTTTATTATTATTATTATTAAAAAATTAAAAAAAAAATAAAAATAAAAAAATAAAATAAAAAAAATAATAAAATAATAATAAATAATAAAATAAAAATAAAATAAAAATTTTCATTTATTATTTCATTATCTGTTTGGTAAAAAAATAATAATAATGATAAATAATAATTATTATTTTTTATTATTTTAATTTTTTTTTTTTATTTTATTTATTCATTTTTATTAATTATTTTCATGTTTCATGCAGTTGTTGATTTTAGTCGAAAAAATAGAAAAAGATTGGCTAATATGGTCGGCAGAACCAGAAATTGAAATTTTAAAAAAACATGCCCAAGATGGAAAAAAATTTCGAATGGTCTATTTTGGTAATAATTTTTTGATTAAAAAAAAATTTAAAAGAAAAAAAAAAAAATAATAAAAAAAAATTTTATTCTTTAATTAATTAAAAAAAATAAAAAAAAAACAATAATATTATTCAGCGTCAATGTTTGGAGCGTGCATAAGTTTCTTCTTCATACCAATAATGCCAAGAATTTTAGATTGGATACAACCATTAAATGAATCAAGAGAATTACTACCAATTTATTTGGCCGATTATAAAATTATTGATATTGAAAAATATTATTTTCCCATTTTTTTTCATAATTATATATGCACCATTTGGATAATGTTAATTCTTATAAATAATGATACAATGTTTATACTTTGTACTCAACATGCATGCGCAATTCTTGCAGCAATGGGGTAAAATTTTATTTTTAATATTTTTTTTTTTTTCAAAATATTGTTTTGAAAAATTAGTTATAAATGGTAAAAATATTTTTGTTTCTAGATCAAAATTGACAAATTTAGTAGATAATCAATTTTCCCCAAAGCGTGACAAATATTTGAGAATGAAAATTGATTCCGATATTATTTTTTGTGCTAAACAACATAAGGAATTAATTGCGTTCGTATAAGTATTATTTTTGTTAAATTCCAATAAAAATTCAAAATTTTGAATTTTTTTTTCCCTATATTATTCTAATTTTTTATATTTATTTCAACAGATTTCTTGAAAATATACATAAATGTTTTTCCTTTCTATTTTTGCTTGGAGTTGTATCTAATATGTTAATGATAAGTGTAACAGGCTTTCAGGTAAAATATTCGCAAAATATTTTTTTTAATACTTTAAATTACAAATTATATTATAAATTATAATATTAAATATTATTAAAAAAAAAATATTTTCAATTCAAAATATATATTTTTTTTTTATTAATATTTTTAAAAATTTTTAGGCAGCAACAAAAATTAATAATCCTGCAGAAACATTGCGATTTTCTGTTGAGACATCTGTACATGTTATTCATATATATTTAATCACTGTACCGTGTCAACAATTAATTGATACCAGTCTGAGTCTTTCTGATTCAATGTAAGATGTTTTTTTTAAATTGCAATATTTAAATATTTAATCAGGATTTTTTTATTATTTTTTTTGGTAATTTTATCAGTAGTATAAATCAGTTTTAGTCAGACACAATGAATAAATTTATTTTAATTAACAGTAGTAAAAGTCAATGTTTAATCAGACCTTAATTTTTTTTTAAAAAAATTTCAGTAGTAAAAATTAATGTTTAATCAGGCCCTAAATTTTTATAAGTAGTAAAAGTCAATATTTAATCAGAGCTTAAATTTATTTTAATTAACAGTAGTAAAAGTCAATGTTTAATCAGACCTTAATTTTAAAAAATTCAGTAGTAAAAGTCAATATTTAATCAGACCTAAATTGTTTTTTAATTTTATCAGTAGTAAAAATCAATGTTTAATCAGACCTTAATTTAAAAAAAATTTCAGTAGTAAAAGTCAATATTTAATCAGACCTAAATTGTTTTTTAATTTTATCAGTAGTAAAAGTCAATATTTAATCAGACTTTCTAAATTATTTTTTTAGTACTTAATTTTTTTATGTGGACAAAAATTTAATTTCAGATACAAATCAAATTGGTATTTATTACCTACACATTCTCGAAAATCATTATTAATAATAATGAGAAGAAGTTCAGAGCCACTTGAATTTATGGTTGGAAAATTATATACATATTCAATGAGAAATTTTGGAATGGTAAGAAGCTTTGCATTATAATTTTTATTATAATTTCTGAAATTATAAAATTTTTATTAATTTATTTATAAAAAATTTATTTAAAAAATTAATATAAAAATTAATATATAAATAAATTAATTAATATCAAAATATTAAATTTAAAAATAAATAAAATTATAAATAAAAATAAATAATAAATTTTATTTAAAGGTAATTAAAACATCAATTTCGTACTTTACTGTACTAGTTTCACTACAGTGAGAAAAATATTATATATATTTTATTTCTATATAGAGAAAGTTCTTTTTTAAAAAAGTTTGCAAACTTGTTACAATTTTTGTAAAATAAATTAATAAATGTGATAAACTTTTTTTTTTATTTCCTTTAATTTTTTTTTACAATGCAAATTTTTTTTTTAATTTCAAATATTTGAAAAAAAAAATGAAAATTATTTCGGTTTCTGTAAGATATGATGACTATGCAATCGCTCATATAAGACTGAAACAACTCTTCTTCTTAGAGACCTAGATGTATATAAAGCCTACTTATTTATTTATATCGAAAAATGAAATTTTCCAAGAAACTTGAGAATAAAAGTCTAATTATCAGTTTCACATTTCACGTTGAAAATGTTTTATTCTTCAAAAATCTTGAAAACACTTTCGTGGAAAACAATGTATTGAATAATAAAACGACATATATAGAACAAAGAAGGGACTTCAACTTAAGAATTGCTATTCAAAAATAAAATCAGTATACCCATATAGACCATGAACATAATACAAAGTTCTTATTATAAATTAAATTATAAAATTTTACGTACACTTGGACAATGGCCATATCTTAATAAATCAGAAAAAATAATCAAAATTTCAGCGATTTTACTTTGTATGCTATCATTAAATATTCCTATGGTGAGAAATTGTAGATAATGGAAAAAAATACACGGAAAAAATTTATTTGTATCAAATAAATATTTACTTGAACCAAATAAATATTTACTTGAACCAAATAAATATTTACTTGAACCAAATAACTATTTGCTTGAACCAAATAAATATTTACATGAACCAAATAAATACTTACTTTTGAATTAAATAAATATTTACTTGAACCAAATAAATATTTACTTTTGAATTAAATAAATATTTACTTGAACCAAATAAATATTTACTTTTGAATTAAATAAATATTTACTTGAACCAAATAAATATTTACTTTTGAATTAAATAAATATTTACTTGAACCAAATAAATATTTACTTGAACCAAATAAATATTTACTTGAACCAAATAACTATTTACTTGAACCAAATAAATATTTACTTGAACCAAATAACTATTTACTTGAACCAATTAAATATTTACTTTTGAATTAAATAAATATGTACTTGAACCAAATAAATATTTACTTTTGAATTAAATAAATATTTACTTGAACCAAATAAATATTTACTTGAACCAAATAACTATTTACTTGAACCAAATAAATATTTACTTGAACCAAATAACTATTTACTTGAACCAATTAAATATTTACTTTTGAATTAAATAAATATGTACTTGAACCAAATAAATATTTACTTTTGAATTAAATAAATATTTTCTTGAACCAAATAAATATTTACTTTTGAATTAAATAAATATTCACTTGAACCAAATAATTTTTATTTACATTAAATAAATTCTATTTGAATCAATAATTTAAAACAAATATCATTTAATTGATTCAAATAAAAATTATTTGGTTCAAGTAAATATTTATTGGATTAATAACAAATTATTTGAATCAAATAAATTTTTTTATATTAAATATTAATTTTCTCAACTTTCGCAGTTTTTGGGTCTTTTTAAATCTCTAGGCAATTTAAATTTAACAATGGAATGTATTTCTCCATTACTCATTATTAATATGTGCATTTTAATGTGTTTAAATTCTATAAATATGGATAAAAAGGTAAATCCAAAGTATACAAAAATTAAAAAAAAAAAAATACATAAGAAGGTAAAAAGGTAATAAATATTTAAATATTTATTTATTTAGAAATTAAAAAAATAAAACATGTATTTAGTTATCGATTATATTGGAGAAAATAGAAAAAGATTGGCTAATATGGTCGACAGAACCAGAAATTGAAATTTTGAAAAAACATGCACAAGATGGGAAAAAATTTCGTATAATCTATTTTGGTATTTATTTTCACGTATTATTGATATAAAAATTTAAAAAATTTTTTTTTTTTTAATTTAAAACAATTTAATTTAAAAAAAAAATTACTGCCCTTTTTAAGCATTCATGATGGGATTATTGATTAGTTTCTTATTCATGCCGGTATTACCAAAAATTTTGGACTGGATTCAACCACTTAATGAATCAAGAGAACTTCCTCCAATTCTTTTTACAGATTATAGATTTTTCAATGAGGAAAATTATTATTTTCTTATTTTTCTACATAATTATATAGGTACATTTTGGGCAATGCTAATAATGATAAATACTGAAATGATATTTATGATTTGTACTCAACATGCCTGCGCAATTCTTGAAGCAGTGGGGTAACATTTTAATTTGCAATAAAAAAAAAAATAAATAAAAAATTATTTCATTCAAATATATGTATAATCAATTACGAAAATATTGTCGAAATAAATATTTAGAATTTTTATTCGATTTCGAAATCAACTATTAAGAAAATAATTTTTTTAGCCGAGTAAAAAATTAGACACTGCGACTCTCCACCGTACGTAGTTCTGTGTAACGCAAAAAAATCAAAACGATTTCGAAAATAATTATTTTTATAGACGAGTAATTGATTATAAAGTGGGACTCTCCACCGTACGCAGTTCTATTTATGGCAAAAATCATTTCGAAAATAATTATTTTTATATCCGAGTAATTGATTATAAACTGGGACTCTCCACCGTACGCAGTTCTATGTATGGCAAAAATCATTTCGAAAATAATTATTTTTATCGAAAATAATTTTTTATAGCCGAATAATTGATTATAAACTGGGACTCTCCACCGTACGCAGTTCTATGTATGGCAAAAATCATTTCAAAAAGAATTTCGAAAATAATTCTTTTCATATCCGAGTAATTGATTATAAACTGGGACTCTCCACCGTACGCAGTTGTATAAAATGCAAAAAATCAAACAATTTCGAAAATAATTTTTTTTTATATCCGAGTAATTGATTATACAATGGGACTCTCCACCGTACGCAGTACTAAGTAACGCAAAAATCGGTATTAAAAATTAATCTATTTTTATTACTTATTATTATTATTATTATTATTTTTATTGTATCACTAACCTTTGGCTGCAACCGATGTAACAAATATTTTGAACTAGAATCACTGAACACACTCGCGATTTAAATAATTTCGAACACTCCCGAAATTTTTAACTATAATACAAAATACTTTTTCCAATGATTTTAAACGATCGCGATTTAAAGATTTTCGAACACTCACGGAAAAAAATTTTACTAAAATTACAAAAAGATTAATATTTTCGCAAATTAAAAAAATTCGAGCACTCCCGATGATTTAGTATTCAATTCAAAAAAATTTACAATTAAAAAATAAATTTAACACAGAAAAAAAAAATTTTGTAAAATTTGTCTAAACAGGTCAAATCATGAATTGCAACTGATTTAATTTTGTTGATTTTCCATCCCCATTGTTTATGACCCTCGCCTTCAGGTAGCCTTTGCGCGTCAATGTAAACATAAACCTCAAGGAGGTAATAAAACAAGAAAATCTATTGGATTAAAATATTTCGAAAAAATTTTTCAATTTCAATAAAATAAAATTTTTAATATAAATATATATATATTATATGAATTATATATATAAAAAATTATTTATATAATTTTTATAATTATATATTATTTTTTTCACCAGTTATCAGTGTATTTGAATAAAATAATTTTTTAAATTATTGAATATTAAATTTTTTATTGAATATTATAGAAACAAAAAAAAACAAAACCTTTTAAAATTATAGAAACAAAAATAATATTAAACAAAAATATTCAATATCTTTTTGCAAATTTTTGTTTAAAAAAAAATCAAATACAATACAAATATTTCTCTTCTAGGACAAAATTGACGAATCTTGTAAATAATCAATGCACGCCACAGCGAAATAAAAATTTTAAAAAGAAAATTGATTACGATATTATTTTTTGTGTTAAACAGCACAAAAAATTGATTACGTTAGTATTTTCTTATTTTATTAAGTTAAATAATTTATCTCCGTGTATTTTTGTGACTTCTTTGTAAATAATTTTTTTTTTCATAATATTTTATTTACATATTCATTTATTTTATATTTAATCTATTTTAATAAATATAATAAATATATAGATTCATAGAGGATATTCATAAATGTTTTTCAATTATATTTTTGATACTAGTTGGTTTCAATATATTAAGTATAAGTGTAACATTAGTTCAGGTGAGTCATTAAATTTTTTTTTTCTGTAATTTACTAGAAATTAACACTATTTTTTTAAAAATTCAATTAATTTTAATCTAATTAATTTAAATTTAATTAATTTAAAAATTAATTTTAATTTAATTAATTTAAAATTTAATTTTAATTTAATTAATTTAAATTTAATTAATTTAAAAATTAATTTTAATTTAATTAATTTAAAAATTAATTTGAATTTAATTAATTTTTAAATTAATTTGAATTTAATTAATTTTAAATAAAAAGGAAAAAAAGAAAAATATTTGAAATTATTTTAGGTATCAATGAAAGTCGATAATCCTACAGAAACTTTTAGATTTTTTACTGAAACATTAGGACAAGCTATTCATATATTTTATCTCACTGTACCATGTCAACAATTAATTGACAACAGTATGAGTCTTACTGATTCAGTGTAGGTTTATTTTTTAATAAATTTAAATTTTTAATAAATTTTTAATTTTTAAAAATTTTTTTTCTAATGAAAAAAAAATGGTGTTTAAATTAATTAAATAAAAATTTTAGATACAAATCAAATTGGTATTTATTACCTATACACTCTCGAAAATCATTACTGATGATTATGAGAAGAAGTTCAGAGCCACTTGAATTTATGGTTGGAAAAATATATACATATTCAATGAGAAATTTTGGAATGGTATGAGAATTTTTTTTTCTTTAATTACATTTTGTGTAATTAATTATTATAATTAATTATAATAATTAATTATAATAATTAATTATAATAATTATTAATCATAATAATTAATATAATCGCTTCTTATAATTTTTATTCACAGGTGATAAAAACTTCAATTTCTTATTTTACCGTTCTTGTCTCTCTACAATAAAATATTAACTCTTTATACCTCATTGTACTCTAATACCTTAACTATTATCTTAAAATAAAATAATTTTTAAAAATTAATATTATTTTAAAAAAAAAATGTATTAAAAAATTCATTTTTGGCAGCAGTTTTATTTTTCATTCATTTCCACTTTATAGGATTGTAAATCTTACATATTGCGTAAAAATAAATGAACTAATATTATTGTATTAAATAATACGCCATTATTATTTATCACACGAATATTGTAACTTGGAATTGTAATTCTTTTTTTACCGCAACCTGAAATTTAAAAAAAAATAGAAAAAATTATCAATTAATTATTATTTGTTTCCACTTACCAGTGAATGCATTACAAAAAGGACGTTTCTGTTTAATAGTATCTTTCAAAAATTTATCTTGCAAAAATGACAAAATGCTCTGAAAAATAAAAAAAAAATATTTTCACAAAATTTTTTATTTAAAAAAAAATGGGAAAATACTTGCCAATTTCACAGTAGTAACATGTAAAATAGTAGTTACATGTAACAAACACAGTACCATAAACCATTTGTATATAAAACTTTTCATCTGAAAAAAAAATGAAATGAATTTTAAATCAATTTCTGATTTTTCAATGTTTTCAACTTGAAAATTTTAATTTCCCTATGGAAAAGAATTTACTAGAAACGATGCTTGGGGATTTTTTTTTTTTTTTTTTAGGTTGGCAATGGTAGCAAATGCGTGTAGTGTGAACAGCATAAGACCTTCACAAAACTGATTCAAGTATAATACTATTGACGCTTGCGCAATTTAACTTCAAAGCTAGTTTATATATTCCAATCATTTTTAGTATATATTTGCTAATTAAAATTTTCACAGAATAAAATTTAGAATTATTTTTTCTACATTTTTTTTTGAAAACAATTTTGCAATTTCTTTACGGATTATACTGAAAAGTAAAGGAAAATTTAAATTCTAATAAAAAAAAATTCTATAAATGTGAATTAAAAGTAAAAGTGATATTTTTTAATTATTATTAACAGAAAGTGTAATTTAAACAAATGGAATGTTTTTATAAATTTTTGTTGTAAAATAATTGTTATTACGACTAAAAGAGGTAAGAGAAATTTTGAATTTAATTTTTGTGCATCCTTAACCTAAAAAAGTACACTACAACAATGACACACTTCTGCATTGTTCCATTGGCATCTGACTCGCACTCATGCTTATCTATTATGGAATAAAAATTTTTACTGCTACAAAAATTTCTATATTCAATTAACTTTCTAAATCTTTGGTCAACAATTTTTACAAGACTTAAAAAAAAATTTTGTTTTTTATACAGATTGAAAATTATGGGTAAGGTGACGAAAAATATCACCGAGGAAAATATAAACAAACCAATAATTAAAATGTCACGTAGTGGTAGGCAAATTAAACTACCACAAAAAATGTCATTTAATGAGGAACCATTGATAAAAAAGCCAAGACAATCACAATCTACAAGTGATTCAAATTCACAATTTATAATTTCAAAGGATCCATTGTATGTAAAATCTAAACAATTAATTATGTTTAACTTTCATTGTTAATTAAATTTTTTTTTTGTCTATTTTCAGAATTTTACCAATGAAAGCCAATAGTCTTAACAAATCAAATACAGAATTAATTGATAAACAAAATTTATTAAAAACATCATTGACACCATCTCATGAACATGCTGAAATGTTTGATTTTGTTGATTTGGAATTATTTCAAAAATCCAATGAGAAAGTTGATGATGAATCTTTTAAAAATCGAGTACTAGATACTTTAGAGTAAGTATTTATTAGATTCGATAAAAATAAAAAAAAGTTTTTAATACCAAAAAAAAAATTAAATTTTTCAGTATTTTACGAGAGCAAAATAAAAGAATTCTAGCGCAACAGGAATTAATTTTAAAAGAATTGGCAAAAACAAATAATAATACGGATAAAAAACTTTCGGAAAGTTTTTTAACTCCCTTAAGAGGTTTTCCAATAGAGACAATTGAAAAATTTAATGAATTCGAATCGGAAATTGGTAGAGAAAGTCGTACAAAAGTGGTAAGTAGAAATAATAAAAATAAATTTTAAAAATTAAATATTAATTAAATTTTTGATGAAAAAATTAATTACATTTTTTTTTTAGTATAATCATTTGGTAAATATGGGTGGTGCAACATTGAGAAATTTTTTATCAAATTCCATAAGAAGACTATTAACAGACAATTTAGTTTGTTCCTTCACTTGGAATGGAGGTGATAATACAATAAAATTCGGCGATACAAAAACAGCTAATGTCCTATACCGTAAGTTATAAAAATTTCAATTTAATAAAATATAATTATTTTTTTTTACGGGTCAGAATTTCTCAAACGGATCACCTAAAATTAAGAAATTTCTTTTTTAGTCTCATTTTTTTTCTCAACAGTTTCTTACACAAAATTGTGTGGGGAATTCAAAAAAAAAAAATTTAATTTTCTGTAGGGCGTCAAGAACACTATTTTTTAATAACATTTTATAAATAAATAATATAAAAATCTATTAAATATGAAATTTTTTCAAAATAAAAATTATATTTAGAAACTACATTTTAAGAGGAGAAAAACCCTTTTTTTTAATTGGTGAACAGGAACTCGAGAAAAAAATTTTTTAAAATAAGACTGCAAAAAATTTCAATTGTTTATAACTTTAACAAAAAATTTTTTTTTTTGACCTAAAAATTTCAGGGACTTATTTTTACCATAAAAGGAGTCAAAAGAAATGATTTTTGATTAAAAGAAAAAATTTCTGAATTTAAGGTGATCCGTTTGAGAAATTCTGACTCTTACTCATTTTTTTTTGAATAACTTTTTTTTAGAAGCTGCAACAAGATGTGAAAATTTCGATGGTCCTTCAAATAAAGAAAATTTTAAACATCATATGTTGGAAGTTTTAAGACATACAAAACAGAGGCACAGAAAACTTTTAAAGAAAAATCTTCAACCAATGAAAATTTCAAAAGATCATGATAATATATTAAAATATGCATTAGAAACATTTGAAACCGGAAACAATGGCAATGACAATAATGACGATGATGACGATGACGATGATGATGATGATGATAATGATCGAGGAGATGAAAATTTTGATTGTGTGGAAGAAGAGATTTATGACATCAAAGAAGGTGTCTTTTTAGAAGCATAGTTAATAAAAAAAAAATTTCAAAATTTCTCATACCAAATAATTCGTAATTTTTATCTAGAAAATAAAATTTAGTTCTCACTGAATTTAAGAAAAATAAAATATATTTTTTCTTTAATAATTATTGTGTGCTTTTTTATCTTCACATAAGGAATGTAAAAAAAGGATAAATTTTAATAGCGTTTCAAATTAAATATTTTTTAATAGTTTAGAAAAATTAATTTCTAAACAAATTAATTTATACTTACTTTTTAGTTTTAAAATGAAGATTAAAAATCTTTTTTTTTTGTCACTTTTTACAAGCGGTAAAACGAAGCACGAAATATTTCCAAATTAATGAAATATATATTCTTTATCACGTTTATATACAAGAAATAAGAATGAAAACGCCTGCGTAAGATGTTAATCAATAAACTGAATTATTTTTCGCAATTCTAATATAAGTTGCGATTTTTTTTTTTTACAAAAAAGTTATTCACTGCAAAAAGGCAGAGACTGATTTTTATTATCAAATTCATAAAGAAATATAGTAATAAAAAAAAAATTAAAAAATTAAAAAAAAAAATAAGAAATTATTTACCATTATTTATTTAAATATTTAAAAATTATTAAATAGAAAAATAGAAAATTTTCTATATTTTTTTAATTTTTATAAACAATTTCTGTTTATTATAAAAATTTATAATTTAATGCAAAAACAGTAATAAAAAATTGAGATTTAAAATAGTTATTGTTGCGCGATAGCTGAGGTCGTTAAAGCGTTTAACATTCTACCATAAGGTAGAGGGTTCAATTCCCCTTGGGATTGAAATTTTAATTCAATTTTTCCAAGCATATTAATTAAATTAGTAATTTTTTATTAACTAATTGTTAAACTACATACACATGCAATTTCTCTCTAAAAGTCTTTTTTTGCCAAAAAAAAGGATTAAATTGACAAGAAAAAATTAAAACTATTTTTACATATTTTACAAAGATCACAACTAACAAAAAAAATAATCGACAACTATAAAAATTAATTTGTTTAAAAAAAAATTTTTTTTTTTTTAACATTAATCGGAAAATATTAGTCGATCATCCTCTGTAGGTTTATTAATTCCATCTCCTTGTCTTATTCTTATATCGATTTTTCCCTCACCATTGTAATTTGGTGTTGTTTCTACAAAAAACCAAAAATTTGTTAATTGTAGCAATTATTATTTAATTAAGAATTTTTAAAATTTTTTTCTTAATAAGAGAAAAAAAAATAAAGAATTAATTGGAAGAAAAATGCACCAATTTTGAGAAACGCATTTAAAAGTGCACATCATTGTACAAGAGTCATTTATATAGAATGATCGAATGCGTCGCAAAACCGCGCAGTATACGCGTTTATTATTGTAGAAAAATTTAAATATTTCAAAAAAAAACGGTATAGTAAATATAACAAAAAGTAATTTTTTCAAAAATTATATTTTTATATATTTTCTTTTAGTAATCGTATAAAAATTAGCGTGCAATTAAAAATTTAGAAATATTGAAAATTATTTCAATTATTTTTCCGTACGTGAAAGAATTTTAGTAGCCAATTCATTATTATTATTATTTTTTGTTTGCCAATTCATTATATAAGAATACAGCATCTTGGATAGATTTATTTCACATCAATTAGTCCTTCTCCATTGGTATTTGATTTATTTTCTAAAGATATAAAATAGCATCATCAGAATTAAAATTTTAAAACAATATTTTTGAAATTATTTATAAAATATTGTGAAAAAAAAAAAAATAATGAGAATCTAGACAAAAATATTTTGTATCCTGATTTTGTATTAATCATCTCCCTAATTTCCTATAGAAATTCTAACGAATTGAAAAAATATTCAAATTATTTTTTTTTAAATTATAATTATTAAAAATATTTTGCTGTATTAATTATTAAAAATAATAATAAATAATATTAAATTAAATAATTGAATTAAAATCCAATAATTATATGAAATTAAATTAAATAATATATTAATACTAAAAATAATTTTTCTGTACACTGAAAAAAAATTTTAAATAATCAGACTATAATCAAATAAATATTTATATTATATAATATTTTATAATATTTTTATATTTTATTTGTTTATTATTTTTTTATTTATATTTTATTTATTTATTTATTATTTATATTAATTTTTACTTGGAATAAAATTACTAATTATTATTCAATGCAAAAAATAACAAAAACATTGAAGCATTGAATTAATCCAAAAAAAAAAAAAAAATCATTTGAAGTCAATGCTTTTTAAATTTTCATCATTGTAAAAATACTTTTACTGATATAATTTTATTTACATACAAATATTAACAAATTTTATTTATTTCAAATAAATTTTATATGAAAAAAAAAATTTATTTATTTCAAATAATCGGTTACTTGATTATTATCAAATAAATATTTACTTCAATCAAATAATTGAAATAATCAAATTGTATTAAATAAATAAATAAATAAATAATTTTTATTTGAGTCAAATTAAATGGTATTTATTTCAAATACAAAAATTATTTGTTACAAATACAATTTATTTAATTCAAAATAAAAATTATTCCGTTCAAGTAAATATTTATTTGATAGTCAAGTAATTGATTATTTGAATCAAATAAATTTTTGTTTCAATTAATTAAATTTTAATTTTCAAATCCATCAAAAAATTAAAAAATAAATAAATTTTATTGGAAAATAAAAAAATAAAATAAAAATTACCTGGTGTTTGAGCAGTTGTTGTCTCAGGCAAGACAATAACCTCCCCACACATTGGATGTTTTGGATAATTATTACAATTTACCGGCAATGGTGGCGATTGAGTTGTTGGCGAATCAGGAAGAAATGGATTAGTAGGATTTTTTACATGCGGTGTTGTTGGTTGTTGTGGATTCACATTTGGTAGTTGATTATTATTTCCAAAATTAAAATTTTCACTACTAATAATTAGCTGGAAAAAAAAAATTCTTGTTACCCAATAAATTAAAAAAAACCGCTTTTAATTTTTAAATAAAAATTTATTTATTTTTTTTTCCAAATTACCATATCGCCACTTGATGGATTACGACACACCCAATCTGTATTTGTATTTGGACGTCGTTGAGGATATTTTGGATAATTTGGATAGTTCGGATAATTTGGATAATTTGGATATCTTGGCATATTATTATGATTATGCCTATTTCCACCTCCTTGATAACCCTTGGGGAATAATTGCTCATAGGGAACAGTTAATACTTCAAATGTATCCATTTTTATTTCAACAATCCATATTAAAAAAATTAAACAAAAATAATTCCAAATACCTTTCATGATGAATTTTCTGAAAAAAATTTTTTTCAATTAAAATTTGAAAAATTTTAAAATAGAATTTTTTTATGTACTTTCTAACAATTAACATATGCGTTCAAAAAAAATGTTTTTTTTCAGTGAATCACCGCAATTTGCTCTTCACACTTTTTAAAACTTATACAATATTTCTTATATAAGAAATTTTTTTTTTTTAAAACAAAAATAGAAAAACAAAAATTTATACTTCCAAACTGAACAAAGAATTAAGATTGTTAAAGATTGTCGATTTAAATTTGTATATATGTCATCTGACGACACTGTGACCATCAAACGAGAAACTGTCCGGTTTTTCCCACCTCTCACCTATACCTAAAAATAATTAAATATTTCATTTCTTTTAATATTTATTACAATATCAATTTTTTTTTTCCAAAAAAAAGATTGCGAAAGAATTCTAAGATTTGTTTTTTTCATATTAATATAAAATATAGTATTAAAAAAGTAATAGAGAAGAAAATCTTTATACTTTTATTGAGGCCCTCGTCAACAGGAAATGAAAATGACCTTGCAGGTTTAAAACACACTCACTCTCGTGAGAATCCACTGACAAGACTAAAAGTCAGAATTGTTAATCATTGATTTTTAATGTTCGCGATTCATTTTTACTTGGAATAAAATTACTAATTATTATTCAATGCAAAAAAATAACAAAAACATTGAAGCATTGAATTAATCCAAAAAAAAAAAAAAATCATTTGAAGTCAATGCTTTTTAAATTTTTATCATTGTAAAAATACTTTTACTAATATAATTTTATTTACATACAAATATTAACAAATTTTATTTTATTTCAAATAAATTTTATATGAAAAAAAAAATTTATTTAATTCAAATAATCAATTATTATTATAATTATTATTATTATAATTATTATTATTATAATAATCATTATTATTATCAAATAAATATTTACTTGAATCAAATAATTTTTATTTGAGTCAAATTAAATGGTATTTATTTCAAATACAGAAATTATTTGTTACAAATACAATTTATTTAATTCAAAATTAAAATTATTCGATTCAAGTAAATATTTATTTGATAATAGTCAAGTAAACAATTATTTTGAATCAAGTTAATTTTTTTTTCAATTTATACTAAATTAATCTACTTTGTTTAATAATAATAAGAAAGGAATTTTTAATAAATAATCATTGAAAAACATTTTATTATTATTTAATTATTATTTAATTATTATTTATTATATAAATAATTAATTTAAATAATTATTTATATAGCCATTTTTTCATTAATTATTTACTTAATTTTTAATAATAATTATTTATTATTTTTACTAATAATTATTTATTATTAATAATTATTAATTACTTAATTTTTTAATTTAATTTTCATTTAATTTTTTTATTTACTTAATTTTTATTTAATTTTGATAAATTTAATAAAATTTAAATTCATAATCTAGTTCTTTCAGTATGGTAAATGAAATAAAATAAATTTCCCTAGATTCCTTAAACTTCCCCAGGAATATCATAGGGATTTTTTATTTTCTCTAGTTTCAATCCAAAAGTTACTAGATTAGGGTGTGACGTCACAGCCTTAATGATTAAGTGGCTGATAATTTTTTTGCTTTAAACGTTTGGCACCACTGATGTTACCACTGGTTACCACGTGACTCTTTGACACATGTGTGTGCTCCGAAAATAAAAAAATAAATTATAATTTTTAGTAAAACAAAAAAAAAATGAATAATACTATTGACAAAAGTGAAAATTTGTCATCAGTCGTTAATGAAGATAAACGCACTGGTAAATGTGCGATTAAACTAGAGTAAGACCAATTATTCAAATCTAAAATTCCATTTCAATTATTTAACCTTTAAATTTTATTTTAGTTTTATTATGAAAATTTTATTTACTCTATAAATTAATTATTAATTATAATTAACATTAATTAATTGATTTAAGTAGGAAAATTATTAATTTTCTCTATTTAAAAAAAAATATTATTAAATTTATTTTTCAAAAAAGTAGGGTTAGAAATAAATATTTTGTTAAATAAACAAAAATTAACATATATATTAAATTTTTTTTTTCCTCTTCATATATAGATTCATTGTTGAAGATCACGTGAGACAATTAAGTAAAGAATGTTTAACAATAAATGATAAAGAAAAAATTGAAAAAATTAATAATGAAGATGAACCACCAAAAAAGAAAATGCGCGAAGACGATAGAAGGGATAAATTAAAAGGACAAAATAAAGCACGACCACCACCATTTAAAGCGGCAAAGGAAAATAATTTATGTCCCTATATTTGTGATCAAGGTATTGATGAAATTGAAAAAAAATGTACAAATCAAAAATGTACATTTATGCATTCACGCATTGATTATATGAAAATAAAACCAAATGATATTAGTGAAGAATGTTATATTTTTAATTTAATTGGAAAATGTCAACGTGGTGCATCATGTCGTATGGGTTCACAACATTTAACAAATGATGGTTTTAATATAATAGACAAAGAGAAATATGAAAAATATCAACAAAAATCACCAACAGTTAGAAATCAAATAAAAAAAGATTTACAAGAAAAATTACGTAAATATAAATATAATTTTTCGAAAGCTGAAAAAATTGTTAAATTAAATAATCCAACGAAAAATAATGATAATAAAAAACAATCATTAGAAAATGAACCCATAATTAAAAATACTGCACTTAATTCTCAACTAGTTGATAGTAAAAAAGAAAAAGCAATTGGCGCAATTTTAGATACGGATATTATTAAATTATTACCAAGTGAAAAAAAGAAAATTGAATGGAAAAATAAAATTCTACTCAGTCCATTAACAACAGTGGGTAATTTACCATTTCGAAGAATATGTAAAGAATATGGTGCCGATATAACATGTGGTGAAATGTCATTAGCACCGAGAATATTAAAAGGTGCACAAGAAGAATGGGCATTAATAAAACGTCATGAGACAGAAGATATTTTTGGTGTACAAATATGTGGTAATAATCCCGGTGTATTAACACGATGCGCACAATTATTAAATCAAGAATCGGATATTGATTTTATTGATTTAAATCTTGGTTGTCCAATTGATTTAATTTATAAACAAGGCTCAGGTTGTGGTATGCTCAATAGAACAAATATTTTGGAAACTGTTGTTAAATCAGCATCACAAATATTAACTATTCCATTTACAATTAAAACAAGAACCGGCATCTATATGGATAAACCAATTGCACATAATTTAATGCCTAAATTTCGAGATTGGGGTGCTGCAATGATAAATGTGAGTCAATTTTTTTTTGGGGGTTTCGTGGCACAGGGCCAAAAGTCTTATTGTTTCGCTTTGGCGTCCGTCTGTCCGTCCGTCGTACATGGTAACCGTTTTCATAGCAATAGCAACAGTTACTATGGCAACAGTTGGTTACTATGGCAACAGTTGGTTACTATGGCAACCGTTACTATGGCAACAGTTAGTTACTATGGCAACAGTTACTATGGCAGCAGTTACTATGGAAACCGTTACTGTATGACAGAAGTTACTGTATGGCAGAAGTTACTATGGCAACAGTTACTATGGCAACAGTTACTGTGGAAACCGTTACTGTTTGGCAGAAGTTACTTTGGCAACAGTTGGTTTCTATGGCAGAAGTTACTATGGAAACCGTTACTGTATGGCAGAAGTTACTTTGGTAACAGTTGGTTTCTGTGGCAGAAGTTACTTTGGTAACAGTTGGTTTCTGTGGCAGAAGTTACTTTGGTAACAGTTGGTTTCTGTGGCAGAAGTTACTTTGGTAACAGTTGGTTTCTGTGGCAGAAGTTACTTTGGTAACAGTTGGTTTCTGTGGCAGAAGTTACTTTGGTAACAGTTGGTTTCTGTGGCAGAAGTTACTTTGGTAACAGTTGGTTTCTGTGGCAGAAGTTACTATGGAAACCGTTACTATGGAAACCGTTACTGTTTGGCAGAAGTTACTTTGGCAACAGTTGGTTTCTATGGCAGAAGTTACTATGGAAACCGTTACTGTATGGCAGAAGTTACTTTGGTAACAGTTGGTTTCTGTGGCAGAAGTTACTTTGGTAACAGTTGGTTTCTGTGGCAGAAGTTACTTTGGTAACAGTTGGTTTCTGTGGCAGAAGTTACTATGGAAACCGTTACTATGGAAACCGTTACTGTATGGCAGAAGTTATTTTGGCAACAGTTGGTTTCTATGGCAGAAGTTACTATGGAAACCGTTACTGTATGGCAGAAGTTACTTTGGTAACAGTTGATTTCCATAGCAACCATAGCTATTCACAAATAATGTTATTATAAATTATTTATTATATATAAAAATAACTTTTAATCTGAATTTAAAAAGCCACGAAACCCCATATAGATTCAGACGCTTTGCGTCTGCTTCTTTTCCTGATTTTTTTTTTTGAATTTTTCAAATAAAAATAATTTAATTTATTTTATTAATTGAATTTTGTTTGAAAAAATAAAAAAATTTACAGATTCATGGAAGATCAAGAGAACAGAGATACACAAAACTCGCCGATTGGGGATATATTGAAAAATGTGCACAAGCTGCAAATCCAATTCCAATTTATGGCGCAGGAGATATTCTATCGTTTGACGATATAATGAAAATAAAAATAAATTATCCAAATATATCAGGTGTTAGTATTGGTCGTGGTGCTTTAATAAAACCATGGATATTTCAAGAGATAAAGGAGAAAAAATTAATTGACATCACAAGTGGTGAGAGATTTGATATTTTGAAAAAATATACCAAATATGGCCTTGAACATTGGGGTTCAGATACACGTGGTGTTGAAACAACGAGAAGATTTATGCTCGAATGGATTTCGTTTTTACATCGGTAAAAATTATATTTAAACCCCCTCCCCCAAGAAAAAAAAAATGGGAAATTAATAAAAATTTTTTCATAGGTATATTCCAGTTGGAATTTTGGAGCATCCACCACAAAGAATGAATGAACGACCACCATTTTATCGAGGTAGAGACGAATTAGAAACTCTAATGGCAAGTTCAAATTGTGCCGATTGGATTAAAATATCGTAAGCATTTTTTTAGTTTGTTAATAAATTTAATTAATTATTAAATTATTAATAAATTTAATTATTAATATTTTTTTTTTACAGTGAAATGCTACTTGGAAAAGTTCCTGATGGTTTTCACTTTCTACCAAAGCATAAAGCAAATTCGTGGAAGTAAAAATTTTATTTTCATTTTACCTTCTATTTTCTAAATTACAATTTTTTTTAAATAAATTGGATTTTTCCTTTTTTTTTGTTAATAATGAATTGATATGTCGCCTAATGTTAAAACAGGCCACATACAATCACAACCACTTGCAATTTCTTTTGTAAATGGTTCCCAACAATCGTTTTCCCATTTTCTTCTAACCATAAATATAGTTCTACTTCTTTGTACACAATCAAATCCAGGATGTGCACATTTCTGGAAAAAAAAAGTGTTATAAAATTAAAAATTTGTTTTGTTTTTTTTTTTTTGCTAATAAAAATAAAAAAAATTCTCTCCTACTTGTTGTGATAATTGAATAGAATTAAAATTTCCATCATTGGGTGCATGATTTTTGCAAAAAATTTCATGATAATGAGGTGGTTGATATTCAAATATTGAATCTTCAAATTCAACTCTTCGCGTAACAGTTGCACATAAATTTTTATACTCCTAAAAAAAATTAATAATTTTAAGAAATTAGATTATTGTATAAAAAAAAAGAATAAAAAAATATTTTTTAACTTTACAGGAAAAATATTAATAATACCCTCATTGAATCACGAGCTCTTCTGTTTAAATCGTGTAAAATATTTCCATTTTCATCATAATAATTATCATCAATATCCTCGGATAGAAAAGCAATTGGAATTTTTGAATTATTTCTTTTATGATAATTATTAAACCATGAATTTGGAAATTCACTTTTTGTACTTGTTATTTTTATAATTATAATTATTTCCATTATCTAGAAAAATTTTTATTTTCATTATTTAAAAAATAAATTATTAGTTTTTTTTTGAAATCATTTTAAATATTTGACAAAAGAAACATGTATTTGTAATCACGTATATGTGTTCCTCTAATATCAATGTGTAGAAGGTAGTTATTTAATTGACAGAGCCTTGTTCTGACATATAAGTAGTTCAGTCGAAGGCGAACTTGGAATGATAAAACATCTTTTCTGACAGTGTGTAATATAAAAAAAAAAAATTTTACATAACTTGCCTATTAGTAAAAATTTTATGTGAATTTAACAATTTTTTCATTAAAGTAATTTTTTCTTTACTTTTACTAATCAAGTGTTAAAAAAATTTTTTTTTTTGAATACACTTTTTTGTGCTGGTGAAATTTCTCAGTTTTTTTTTTTTTTTATTATAATTCGAAAAAAAAATTTTGTGATATAACAATTTTACGAATTTTCCCATATTGAGAAGGAGGATTTTAATTACAATTGAATCTTTCAACCTTGATCTAATGGTCCAAGAAGGACGATGTTATCGAGGTAACATTGACATGTCAGCTGATCTGTTGTCTAATGGGTCCCTAAAGACTGAAAGGTAATTTGAGTTTTTTAACAATAATTTTTTTAACTATACTTAGAAAAAAATTAAAAAAAAAAAAATGATGAAAAATTATAAATATGCTCTAATTTAATTTTTATTCAATTAGCCAATGGAATGTTAAATTCAATTATATACAGTAATAAAATGCAAATTAGTTGTGCAAGAATAATTTGGTTTTCTGGATGACAGTGAGATTCTCAACAGTACCATCGCATTATTGAATGAGTTAATAAGCAATTGACCCCTGACCGAGTGGCTAAAGGTTTTATTGAAGATGACTACTAAACAAAGTTTAAAGGAACAAAGCATCAATTTTTTTTTTCTCTTTTTTTTTGCAGGCAAATTTAGGCATGCCTTGAATAATTAATCGACTTTAATGTTAATTATTAATTTGTTTACGATGAATAACTGCGCGCAATAATAATAACAAACAATAAAAATAATAATTATTATTATTTTTATTGTATATATTTTTTATTGTAATAATAATAATTATTATTTTTATTGTAATTTTTTTTTATTATATAGTAAAATTATTAAATAAATATAATATTATATAAATAATATATTATTATATTTTTTTTCCAAGGAAAAAAATCTTTACCTAGAATAGCGATAAGTTTCACTGGAACAGCGAAATATTTCATTAAAACAGGGAAATTTTTTGCTATTCTAGAAAAACATATCGCTGTTCCAGATAAATATTTTTTTTGTGTATAATATAAATAAATAAATATATATATATGGATATATAAATATATATATATATATATATATATTTGAAGATATGGTGAATTATTTTTAGAATCATAAGATGGGGTCTATCCCTTGATAGGAAGCTAAAAATAAATAGTAAGGACAATTCTGGCTCAATTTTTCCATTTAGTTATTTAGGTAACAAACGGTTATAATCGTCAATTTAGAAATATTTGCGTATGCCACTCAAAGGGTCCATCATTCCGATTTACAATTCCCGACAAAGAAAAAGAAGAAGTTTATCATTATAAATAATTTCTTTTTAGCAACAAAATATTTATTTTTTTAAACAAAACTAAATTTTTATATAAAAAATTTTGATTAAATTGAAATTTTTACTTTTAAATATTAAATTAACAAAAAAAGAATTAATATATAAAATATCACAGCTGCCTTCTTAGAGAAATTCTTTTATATTTTATACAAAAAGTTCATTGACCTTATCAAATTCTTTATAAATTGAGGGACGATAAATTTTTTTTTTCTTCAATTAAGAAGTTGAATTAAATTTAAATTAATTGAAATAAATAAATATTTATTTCAATTAATTGAAATTTAATTAATTTATTAAATTTAAATTATTATTAAATTTTTATTATTATTATTAAATTTATTAAATTTAATTAAATTTAATTAAATTTTTATTATTATTATTATTAAATTTATTAAATTTAATTTTTATTTATTATTATTATTTATTTTGCGACATTATTAAAGATTAAAAATTATGCTATAAAAAAAATAATTAAAAATAAAAAAATTTGGGAAAAATAAAAATTTTGAAATAATTTTTTTTAATTTGTTAATTATAAATAAATAAATAACAGTATCGGAAATTGAAAAAAAAAAAAAAAATTCTGATAATATGAGTGGCACTTTGTGTGTATCGTACGCTATACGATTTACAGCAAAGAAATTCTCGTTTCAGTACTACAGGCGCAATGAGGCAAAGAAAAGCAATTGGGCTGCTGGGAGCAGCGACACAGATATCTCACGATGAAGATCAGTTGAGATTTAAAGACAACAGATTTCTGACGACATTGGTTCGCGGTAGAAACAGGTAAGAATTTTTTGATTAGCATTTAAAGAATTGCGTCAATTTGCAACCACCTCGAGTACTTTGTTTATTTTTCTCACTCTACTTAACTCTCTCGTTATATATATACAATTTAAAAAAAAAAAAAAATTATCGCAGTTATTATTAAAAAAACGTATACGACATTTCATTTTTCAAATTATTTTCAATAATTATTTATAAATTAATATTTAATTATAAATAATTATAATTATAAATTTTTATTTATTTATAAATTAATTTATTAATTATAAATTTTTATTTTTTTGTAAATTAATTTATTAATTATAAATTTTTATTTATTTATAAATTAATATATTAATTAATTTATTAATTAATTTATAAATAAAAAAAATTTTTTAAATTAAAATCACATCATCTGTGTAATAAATAAATTGTTATTACAAAAAGAAACTAAAATTATTGTAATAAAAATTATAAAATATATATTATTTGTTATTTTGCATTAAAAATTTATTTTTTATTAATGTAAAAAACTAATTGTCCAATTAATATTATAAATAAATAAATACTTGACTAGAAATAATAATTAAAAGAAAATGAAAAAAAAATTAAATAAATAATTAAACGTAAAAGTACTGACGTTTATGTATATTTAACTCGTGTATTTATTTGAATGTAATGACTTTAAGTTGGAGAATACGTGTATATATGTATATATATATATATATATATAGATAAGAAGAAAACGCGTAGTAAATCTTGGAGTTTGTATTGTATTTCAACGTAATATGAATGAACTATTAATAATACAAAAAGTTTATACACGTGCGTCAAAACATGTAGTATTGTTAATATAATACCACTAATGTAAAAATCAATTATAAAAATTATATTTTTCAAAATTAAATTTTTTTACAAATAAAAAAAATTGAAAAAACTAAAAAATAATAAATAAACTAATAAAATAATAAACTAATTAATAAATTAATAAATAAATAAATTAATAAAATAATTAATAAAATAATAAACTAATTAATAAATTAATAAATAAATTAATAAATAAATTAATAAATAAATTAATAAATAAAATAATAAATAAAATAAAAAAAAAATTTTTATAATAAAGAAAATTATAAATTTTACAATGCGACCGATTGATTCGATTGAAATTGAAAGAGACCTCGAGAGAAAACGATCTGCAGGAATTAATTTAAATATCCACACACGTTATATAGCATTGATATAATGAAAAAAAAAATTGAAAATACAATGTCAATGATACCGCGGTAATTTATAAAATTGTTTTGTAGTCAAGGTTCTTTTAATTTAATCCCTTTATTATCAATAATATTAGGTAAACGATTTTTTCTCTCACCCCCTTTTAGTAATTTCGAATTCAAAAAACTTTATTGTCAATTTTTTTTGCTTTTAATATCAAACAACGGTTTTTTTTTTTTTTGTAAAATTTTATCAAAAAGAAAATCTTTTTTTCAGTAAATAATAAAATTATAAAAAAAAATTATTATTCCTATTAATTAATTATATTATCATTAATAAATTTATTAATTAATTGATTAATTATTAATAATAATTATATTGTTATTATATAATATATAAATAATTTAGTTAAAGTAACTTACAATTATTAAAATATTCATATCTCTGGATTCAGAAAAAAAAAAAATTTTTTTATATAATTTATAACTCAATAAATGATGAAAATTGAATAATACAAAACGAATTCTCTAAGCTAACTGACATTAATAAAAAGGACATGCAACAATATTGCTCGATTTTATGAAAATTTAATCAGAAAATATTGGAGGGATGAGATAGTAACTAAAGGAAACCGTGTTCGCGCGAGGGGTTAAAAAAAGAATAATAATAATAATAATAATAAAGCAAATATAATGACGCGTGAGGACAATCTGTATCAGATTTTTCGTGATGGTCACGCGATTTAATTGAATTCTCTAATCGTACTAATTGAAAACAATTGCGGTCACCACGCGCGCCGACCTATTGTCAATAAAACATTTAATTCAACCACTAAACTCTCACGTGCTTCTTGTTAATATATCCTCACCAACGAAAGCATTTCAATTTATTTCTTTTATATATATATATATATATATATATATATATATATATAATTTATTTATTTTTTTATTTTTTGTGTAAAAAAAAGAAAATTAATTTATATTAATCGAATTTGTTTTTAACTAAATTTTTATTTAATCCAATTTTTTGGGTTCCATCAATTATATTTTTAGTACCATTTTTGTAATAATACAGACAAAAAAATTATTTATTTTTCTCACAGCCTAATAAATATTTATTTGATTCAAATAAATTTCTATTTTTATTCTAATAAATTTTTATTTGATTCAAAGAAATTTCTTTTTGGTTCTAATAAATTTTTATTTGATTCAAATAAATTTCTATTTGATTCAAATAAATTTCTATTTGATTCTAATAAATATTTATTTGATTCAAATAAATTTTTTATTTCATTCTAATAAATTTTTATTTGATTCAAATAAATTTCTTTTTGTTTCTAATAAATTTTTATTTTATTCAAACAAATTTCTATTTGATGCAAATAAATTTCTATTTGATTTAGGTAAATAAATTTTTATTTAATTTAAATAAAAAAAAATTATTATAGCCGAAACAAGTAGGCTAGTACGCTGTGAGACAAATATACGTTTATTTAACACAAATATATTACTCTCTAAATCTGAATTAGTAAAAAAGTTTACTAATTTAAATTAGTGACTCACTTTTTGCTTCTCAAATAGTAAAATTTTACTAATTATTAGTAACTTTTACTAGTTATTAGCAACTTTTACTAATTATTAATAACTTTTACTAGTTATTAGTAACTTTTACTAAAAATTAGTAAAGATTTACTAATTATTAGTAATTTTTGCTAATAATTATTAAACTTTTACTAAAAATTAGTAAAGATTTACTAATTATTAGTAATTTTTACTAATAATTATTAAACTTTTACTAATTATTAGTAACTTTTACTAGTTATTATTAACTTTTACTAACAATAAGTAAAATTTTACTAATTCTAAAGCAAAAAGTGAGTGATTAATTTAAATTAGTAAACATTTTTACTAATTCAAATTTAGAGAGTATATTTGGTTTAAATAAAATATTTCTCTGGGTATAAAACTAATTGAAAATGAAACTTATCTCATTAAATTTTCCTCTTCAGGGGGGGGTAAAAATCAATAATCAAGTTTTAAATCAACATGTGAGTACACATGGATCCTTATCACATATATATAAATGACACCTACGTCTACGCTTTTTATATAGATATCGGAAGTAATTATACGTTATAATTCATTTAATAAAAATTCGAAAAGTCAATAATATTACATAAAAAGAGAAAATATTACTCTCTAAATCTGAATTAGTAAAAATGTTTACTAATTTAAATTAGTGACTCATTTTTTTCTTTAGAATTAGTTAAATTTTACTAATTGTTAGTAAAAGTTACTAATAATTAGTAAATGTTTACTAATTGTTAGTAAAAGTTACTAATAATTAATAAAATTCTACTAATTCAGAAGCAATTCTCAATTTACTAAAAATATAGAGTAAAGAACACTGTCTTACTTTAAGACATAAATTTAGAAAACACTCTTTAGTTTTCTCATTGGTTAAAAAAAATATCTAAGATCATTCGTCATTGGTCAAAATCTGACACCATAAAATATGTCTTGAAAGTGTTTTTGAAAATAATTTCCTTCTTTTTTTCTTTTTTTAATCTCATCTAAAATTTTTCTCCAGGAAAATATCTCCAGAAATTCTACCATCTTGTTCGCCAGGAATATTTCGGCAACGTTCATTCATGACTGTAACGGCGCCATCATCAAATCATCATAATAATCATCATCATAGTCAACATAATAAAGTGAAAACAATTGATGAGAAATTTAATACAACAAAAATTACACCTGCTCAGTGTGATCGTATCAATGTTTCAAGTCAGACGTCGTCGTCGTCGACTTCATCGTCATCGTATTCTTCATTAGAACAAATTTTCTCGCGTACAAAAGTATTCTCACGGGGTTCACTAAACTCCAGTAAACATTCACGCTTTGGTACGACACTGGCCAACAAAATGGCGTCAGGGAGCTCAACCACAGTCGTACAAGGCTGGCCAAATACCAAAGATGATTACGAATTAAAAGAAGTAATTGGTAAGTAGCTATCATTTTTATTTGACATTCAATTAATTTTAATCGAATGTCATCATTGTTTAGTGTTTTTTTTAGAAATAAAATTTATTCAAACAAATAAGAAATGTGAATTGCCGGGCCCCCCTTTTTATATATATATATATAGATATATACACTATATATATATATGCCACCTCGTACAACTCCGGTCCTGTACATATATACCAAGCAGAGCAGATGTATGACGTTTTTCCCTATATTCTGATCGGAGGATGTCGTCATTACATAAAATTATGATGCATTGACCGAATTTCATGATTTTCAAGTGGTGCGATTATGTGTCACAACAATGTGCGACACGTGGTTTATGTTGAAGAATGTTTTTCTGACAATAGACTTTTCAAAAAACCGGTACACTGTATATAACGTGACTAACCTAACCAATCTTTCGTCTCTCTACATATATATATATACATATAGTGCGGTCATGGCCGGTTGGAGCAGAAGAATTTTTAAAGTGTCAAATATAGAGAATCATTATCAAAATTTGGAAAAGAAAACTAAATTTTCTTATCAAAAGTTAAAAACGTGTTGTTACTGTGCACTAATGATGATATAAAAAAAAAAAAAATTTTGTGAATACTAGAAATTTTAAGTTTAATGACCTTTATAATCTTTTATTGTTATTTAACATGACCGTGATATTTTCAAGGTTACATATGTATTATAAATATATTATGTGGAATAAAGTGAAATATTTTATGAAAATTTATATAAATTGTACCTTTTATTTAATATTCCTTTAAGTTGCTCTCTAAATCTGAATTAGTAAAAATATTTACTAATTTTAATTAATGACTCACTTTTTGCTTTTGAATTAGTAAAATTTTACTAACTTTAGTAAAAGTTACTAATAATTAGTAAAAGTTTACTAATTATTAGTAAAAATGACTAATAATTAGTAAATCTTTACTAATTTTTAGTAAAAGTTACTAATAATTAGTAAAACTTTACTACTTGTTAGTAAAAGTTACTAATAATTACTAAAAATTTTAGTAAAAGTTACTCATAACTAGTAAAAGTTACTAATAATTAGTAAAAGTTTACTAATTATTAGTAAAAATTACTAATAATTAGTAAATCTAAATCTAATTAAACTAATAACTAATAATCTAAACTAATTATTAGTAAAAATTACTAATAATTAGTAAATCTTTACTAATTTTTAGTAAAAGTTACTAATAACTAGTAAAAGTTACTAATAATTAGTAAAAGTTTAATAATTATTAGTAAAAATTACTAATAATTAGTAAATAAATCTTTACTAATTTTTAATAAAAGTTACTAATAACTAGTAAAAGTTACTAATAATTAGTAAAACTTTACTAATTGTTAGTAAAAGTTACTAATAATTAGTAAAATTTTACTAATTCAGATGCAAAAAGTGAGTCACTAATTCAAATTAGTAAACATTTTTACTAATTCAAATTTAGAGACTAGTGAAAAGTGAGCTAATTTAAATTAGTAAGAATTTTTACTAATTTTTAGTGACTTTTTGCTAAAATTTTAGTTAAACAATTTAAAACTAGTAATATTTTACTAAAAAATTAGTAAAAATTCTTACTAATGTGAATTAGTAGCTCACTTTTTACTATAATTCACATTCAGAAAGAAAATTTATAAGTCACCAAGTGCACTAAGAATAAGTTATTTCAAGTGAAATTTCACTTATTTTAAGTGCTTATATACTATCTAAATCGAAATTAGTGAAAAGTGAGCTACTAATTCACATTAGTAAGAATTTTTACTAATCTTTAGTAAAATATTACTATTTTGATTTAGTAGTTTAAAATTTTTTTTTACTAAAGTTTTAGTAAAAAGTGACTAAAAGTTAGTGAAAATTCTTACTAATTAAAATTAGTAACTAAAATTAGTAATTAGTAACTTTTCAACTAATTCAGATTTAGAGTGTATATTAGCAACATTTAACTTTTAATAAGTGACTCTCTAAATTAGAATTAGTGAAAAGTGAGCTACTAATTTAAATTAGTAAGAATTTTCACTAAAATATTACTAGTAGTTTTAAAATTTTTGACTAAAATTTTAGTTAAAAAATTCACTAAAAATTAGTGAAATTTCTTACTAATTTAAATTAGTAGCTCACTTTTTCACATAATACAGATTTAGAAAGAATATTTCATAACCATAACTTTATGCTCCGAAATATAAATTTTTTTTTTTTTTATAAAAGACCTTATCAGCAGTTGATCAAATACATAAATTTCTATACCATATGACAGGAAAATTAATTCTTAAAGAAAATAAATTTATATATGTTTCCAAATTTTTTTCAAATGCTAATAAAGAAGCATAATGCTTTTGTATCACAAATTTTTTTTTTTACCAATTTCTAAAAAAAAAAGATGTGTAAAATTTTATTTTCTTTAACTATTAATTATAATTACTATAAATCTGATTAACTAATAAGGTTATTCATAAAAAATTATGTATTTCAAAACTAATTTAAAAAAAAAACAATTTATCTTCTAAATCATAACTTATCGTGGAACATAAAAATTGAAAATAAACGAATAAAAAGTGACAAAATATTTCCATTACTTAAGCATCAAGAGAGAGAAAAAGAGATAAGAAAAAAATGTTAATTTGTATTTTGTACTAAAAAGTATATCTATTTATATTATTTGACAATTAACTTCAAATGACATTTGTTAAAATTTAACTATTGTATTATATAAATTTAAAAAAGAAGATTTAAACGTCTATAAATCAAATAATTTTTTAACTGAATTAAATAAACTGTATTTGAACCAATAATTTCTGTATTTGAAACAAATACCATTTAATTGACTTCAAAAATTATTTAGTCCACGTTAATATTTATTTGATAATAGTCAAGTAACGGATTATTTGAATCAAATAATTTTTTTCGATGCAGAAAAATTTCGCAAAATTTTAAAATATATTAATATGTACTTTTAAAAATTATAGTGTATACAAAAATATTTTGTTCCTATTTCGTGAAGCTTTTAACAAACGTGTCGGATAGAGGACAAGTGGATCAATTAAATTATTGTACTCTTATGCGTAATACAGTGTCAACCCGCACAAATGTGTGAAATAGCATATATTTCAAATACTCAAAATGAATTATAATATACAATTACATTATTTTTATAATAAAAATAATAAATAATCTATCATTTTTAAATTCTGCATTAAGAGTATGAATAAAAATCAAAATTTTATATTATTCAAATATATAAGAATTAATTTTTTCAAAAGGTGTTGGAGCTACTGCCGTTGTACATGCTGCATTTTGCATTCCACGCCAAGAAAAATGTGCAATCAAAAGAATAAATTTGGAAAAATGGAATACAAGTATGGACGAGTTATTGGTAGGTGAATTTTGTAAATTCTTTTTTTCAAAGAAAAAAAAAAAAAAAAATTAACTGGGAAATAATTTTTTTTCTGTAATTTCAAATATAGAAAGAAATACAAGCGATGTCTTCCTGCAATCACGAAAATGTAGTCACGTACTACACATCGTTTGTTGTAAAAGAAGAATTATGGTTGGTTTTAAGACTTCTTGAAGGTGGTTCTCTACTTGATATTATAAAACATAAAACACGAACATCAAATTGTAAACATGGTGTATTTGATGAAGCAACAATAGCAACTGTACTTCGAGAAGTACTCAAAGGTCTCGAATACTTTCACAGCAATGGACAAATTCACAGGTATTCAAAATTTTTATACCTTTTTCTGTTATATTAGGAGTAATTACAAATCCGTAAAATCCTATAAAATCCGTTGCTATGATAACCAATGGCATGGCAACCGTTTCCATAGAATCCGGTGCAATGGTAACCGTTGCTATAGAAACAGTTTCTATAGAATCCGGTGCTATGGCAACAATTTCTATAGAATCCGTTGCTACAGAAACAATTTCTATAGAATCCGTTGCTACGGAAATAATTTCTATAGAATCCGTTGCTTTGGAAACAGTTTCTATTGAATCCGTTACTATGGAAATCGTTGTTATGTTGGCCAATGCCATGTAACCGTTGTTATAGAAACAGTTTCTATAGAATTCGTTGCTATGGTAACAATTTCTATAGAATCCGTTGCTACGGAAACAATTTCTATACAATCCGTTGCTATGGAAACTGTTGCTATGGTGACCAATGCCATGTAACCGTTGCTATGGAAACCGTTTCTATAGAATCCGTTGCTATGGTAACAATTTCTATAGAATCCGTTGCTACGGAAATAATTTCTATAGAATCCGTTGCTATGGAAACCGTTTCTATAGAATACATTACTATGGAAACCGTTGTTATGGTGGCTAATGCCATGTAACCGTTGTTATGGAAACAGTTTCTATATAATCCGTTGCTATAGTAACAATTTCTATAGAATTCGTTGCTACGGAAACAATTTCTATACAATCCGTTGCTATGGAAACTGTTGCCATGGTGGCCAATGCCATGTAACCGTTTCTATAGAATCCGTTCCTTTGGAAACAGTCTATAGAATCCGTTACTATGGAAACTGTTGCTATGGTAACAATTTCTATAGAATCCGTTGCTACGGAAACAATTTCTATAGAATCCGTTGCTATAGAAACTGTTGCTATGGTTGCCAATACCATGTAACCGTTGCTATGGAAACAGTTTCTATAGAATCCGTTGCAATGGTAACTGATGCCATGGAAACCCTTTCTATAGAATTCGTTTCTATAGAATCCGTTGCTTTGGAAACAGTTTCTATAGAATCCGTTACTATGAAATCCGTTTTTATAGAATCCGTTACTATGGAAACTGTTTCTATAGAATCCGTTGCAATGGTAACAGTTGCTATGTAAACAATTCCTATTGAATCCGTTGCTATAGTATCTATTACTATTACAACCGTTGCTGTGGTAACCAATACCGCAGTAACAGTTCCTACTGTATCCATTACTATGGTAACCAATGCCAAAGCAACAGTTGCTATAGTAACCGTTGCTATGTCCAAAGCGTCGTTATATGAATTTCGATCCTAAACCAGAAAAATATTTCATTCATAATTTGAACTAAATTTCTAGGGATATTAAGGCTGGTAACATTCTACTTGGCGAGGATGGAACAGTACAAATTGCAGATTTTGGAGTAAGCGCATGGCTAGCAACCGGTAGAGATCTCAGTCGACAAAAAGTTCGACATACATTTGTTGGAACACCATGTTGGATGGCACCCGAGGTCATGGAGCAGGTGAGAGAGGAAAGTTACATTCCAATTTCTTGGCCTGCATAAAGTCATTTTCAAGAAAATTTTTTAAACCAATTTCTAACTCTCTTTTTTTTGGGATAATAGAAAAACTTAGTTTTGTTGATAAAGTTAAAAATACAGGCAATGAAATGAAATATTTGTTCTTTAATAGAATAATTATGAATATAATTTAATGACAATTGTCTTACAGGATCATGGCTATGATTTCAAAGCTGATATTTGGTCGCTAGGTATAACTGCTATTGAAATGGCTAGTGGAACTGCTCCCTATCACAAATATCCACCAATGAAAGTGCTTATGTTAACATTACAAAATGATCCACCAACTTTAGATACCGCTGCCGATGATAAGGATCAATATAAAGCGTATGGTAAAACATTTCGAAAAATGATAGTTGATTGTTTACAAAAGGATCCAACAAAAAGGTGATTTGAATTTTGATTTGATTTTAAAGATTTTTATTCTTTTTTTTTAAGACAATATTCTTTTAGACCAACAGCAACGGAGCTTTTGAAGCATCCATTTTTCAAAAAGGCGAAAGATAAAAAATATTTACAACAAACACTAGTTGCAATTGGTCCAAGTCTTGAGACTCGAGTTCAAAAGGTAATACTGCTTTTAATATATAATTTTAATAGAAATTTTTTATATTTTAAAAATTGATTTCGCCAGGCATCAAAAAGGCAACCGGGTACTTCGGGTCGTTTACATAGAACTGTAACTGGCGAATGGGTTTGGTCATCAGAGGAAGATAGTGGAGGTTCTAGTGGCGAGGATGGTAAAGAACCATTGCCAGTAAATAATATCGAAAATGTAAGCAGCGATGAAGAAGTTCCCGATCCTGAGGATTATTATGGACAAGTGAAAACGGCTCAAAGTCATTTGACCATTCAAGCAGCTGAACAAAATGCTCCTATCAATTTAGTTCTTAGACTGCGGTATGATTTTTTTTTCTCTCGTTAGAATTTTTTTTTCTTCTAATTTACATTTTGTGCGAAAACTAATTAGAAAAATTTTCTATTTTGTTTAGAAATCAAAAACGGGAACTTAATGATATAAGGTTTGAATTTGCTGTTGGCGTTGACTCTGCAGAAGGAATTGCTGCAGAATTAGTTGGAGCGGGTCTAGTCGATAGAAAAGATATTGTCGTTATAGCAGCTAATTTACAAAAATTAATAGACACTTCCGGTGAAGTTCGAACAGTAACATTTCCTTTAGTAAGTATTTAATTTTAATTTTAAAAAATTTTAATTATCCTAATTAATTAAATTTTCTAGAATTCCGGCTATGCTCCAAATGAGGTACCAGATGACAAGGCATTAATCGGTTTTGCGCAAATAACAATTACTGACTAAATTCTTCTCTCTTTTTTTTTTGTTGACAAAAACTCGAATTTTCTTTTGACTCCAAAGTAAGAAAACAAATTTAGTCAATGAAGCCGCGTAACGACGCTTTTTTCGGGCATATTAAGAAAGTAAAAATTTTTGAAGCTTTTTTTAAAATTTCGTATAAGAAAGCATTCGCACTTTCGATCGGCTTTACAATTTAGACTATTATATAATTAAGAAAAAATAATGGCTGTAGTTTCATATATATATATATTTATATATATATATATTAATAATAATCAACTCTTGTAACATTCGTATTAAAATAATGAATGTAAATATTAGTGATAATAGTAATCCGCTTTTAGTGTCAAAATGTCCAGAGAATGAAGAACAATTTGAGGCCTTAGTGTTTAATAAAAAAGAAAAGAAATTTTGCGAGTAAATTAAAAAAAAAAGAAACACTTACAAAATGAAGATGAAGATGAAGATTGCATCTCACACTGAGTCCTAAAAAAGAAAACAAATACTTACTGTTAAAAAGAAAAGTATTAATAACAGTGGGTATCACGTTTTTTTCACTGCGCACTTAATTTTGCAAAAGTGAAAATATCAATCATTTCGTACTTAATTGACTCTCATATTTTTTCTATTTTCAGCAATTAAACATTGCAGTACGATATACGACTTTTGAAATCTATTATCTATTTTTTACTATTTTGACTTTTGTTATTTTTTTTTCTCTCACATCAGTAACATTTGTTTTCTAATGGTATATTTCCGAGGAGCAATATGTTTAACATAAAAGCAGTACCAAAATGTTTATGTAAAAATTTGTCATTAAAATTTTTGATAATATCACACGTTATGTGAATTTTTTCTTGTATAATTATTTTTATATATATATGTATTGCGGTATTTTTATTAAATATAAATTTTTATTGTTATTCAAAATGTATAATTAAATTATAAATATTGGCATAAAATGCTGTTTTTGTTTTAAATTTTAAAAAAAAAACTAATTTATATATTTATATATATTTGTAATAATCCTTGAGATATACCTTTTATTAAAAAAAAAAAAAAAAGCAAACAAAAATTACGATTACTGCAATGTACTGCTCAGAATATAATTATAGTAACGAATTTACTTGTAAATAAGACTTTATTCTTTTCATATATACATAATTATTTAATATATATGTTAAGAACAAAAGTCTTAATCGATATCTATATTGTCTATTAGGAATTATTAATTTATATAATTATATAAAAAAAAACAACTTTGCACGATAGATATATTATTGATTTAAGTAAACGACGAATGGTAATTATGTAATAAATACGAACTGATAATTTAGTGTAGTTATATTTCGAAAAAATGGCACTACTTCCATTGAATTAACATAATTATAGTCTTTGACAATTATTCTAGAAAAAAAAAAAATAGAAAATTAATTTTTCATAAACTAATAATAGATTTCCAAAAAAAAAAAAGTGTTCTTTTTTTATATTAATGCATTTAGATAGAATTTAAAAAAAAATGTATGTGTGCCTTATTCGAAATTTGTTTATTATATATCCTAAAAAATAGAATCTTCTATCAAAATCGCAATTTTTATTTGAAAAATTTTTTTTTCAAAAAAAGTATTTTATTGACTTTTTTTTTTTAGCAACCATTTTAACGTGAAAATATAATATGGAAGTCACGTAGAAGATTTGTTGTGGTATTTTGTATTTTATATTTATTTCAAAAAAAAAAATGTCGTTAATTAACAATTGTGTTAATTCTATACTATTAACTGGTTCGAAAAAATTGAATAAATTTTTTCTCTTTGAGGTAAGTTTTTTTTTTTATTTGTAGAAAAAGAAATTGAAAATTATTTTTTGAGGTTATGTTTCAAATCATTTCCCACACATAACCTAAAATTTAAATTATTCCCTCAACATTAAAAAAAAATATAAAAGGGCACCGACATTTAAAAATAAAAAATTAATTTTTTTTTTCATTAAATATATGTATTACCAAAAAAATTATAAATTCTTGTATTGCGCGAATATGGAAATTTATATTTCTGAGAAATGTCATTAAATTGATTACGACATTATATATATATATATATATACTAAATGATGAATAAAATTTTAATATTAAAAAATTGTTTCTTGAATTAAAAAATATTACCTTGTTTTTTTTTTAATTTTCGAAATAAATTTAAGAAAATAATTTCTTTAAATTATAAAAAATTGTAAAAAACAATTTTTAATTTAAACAATCCACAAAATGACAATTATATTTTTTTTATAAATATAAATTTGTCATATTTTTGCAGGCAGCTGTTTATTGGGCTGAACAGGGTCATCGTGTTTTTTATTTTGGGCCCGAAAAATTGCAATCTTCACAATTCATGCATCATGACAGAAGTAACCCAAACTCCGAAGCTTTCAAAATGATGAGATTTATGTAAGCAACGTTTTTCGTGTTTATTTTTATATTTACATTTATCATCCAGCAATAAACGCGGGAGTTTCTATATAAAAAGAAGGGAGGGGGGGAGGGAAATTAAAATTTCAATCAAATTATTTTCATAAATAAAAGTTGTAAAATTCAAAAAAAATTCATCCGCGAAAAAGAAATAAAAAAATTAAATTTTCCTGCTTGAGATTTTTTTTTTTTTAAAGAAGAAGCAAAAAAAAAATTGTATAGAAACAGAATCCTCAGAATCCCTTTAAAAGATGTTATATAGAAGAAACATGCCTATATGCGGACAAAGAAAGGGATTTCTCGTACACAATTTTATTCTTCAGAGGCGTCACTAAGTCTGGGGTCCTTTTGCTAAACAGGGCCTCAGCTACAATTCTAAATCAGGATTATAATATATTTTTCTCAAGGACAAATGATCAAAAAAAAAAAAGTTTTCTTAAAACTGTTTTTCCCAACTATTAGAAAAAATTAGATAAAAAATATTTTCCCTGTTTTTTTAAAAAAGGCAGCTAAAAGAATTTTCGTTTTTTTTTTTTTTTTGCAGATATGTATCGAATTATGAGGCACTAGTTGAACAATTAGTGGATGTTCACACTATTGCACCACCACCTTCTGTATTGTTAGTCGACGATTTTGATAATTATATTCACGATTCTGATATTAAGGAAAAAAAAGAGGTACATATTGCAAGATTATGTGCACTTTTATTCGATACAATGAACACATGTGCCGAAATTCTCGAGCGTAAGGTTCATATTTTTATATCAATTTCATCGGAATTAAATTTTATCCATCAAATTTATTTCAATAAATTTTGGACAATCGAAGAAGAAAATGAAAATATTGTCAAATTAAAACAAATTGGAAATTCTAAAATTTACGAATATCGTAAATTTGACAATAATAATATTATTTTAAAACAAATTATCTACGATTAAATTTTTAAATATGTTAATTTTTGCTAACAAATAAAAAAATAATATGAAAATGTTTTGTAGTTCCATTTTCTGCCACTAGATGCTTCTCTCTCAGAATTATATAAGAATCGAAATATCAAATTATTTTTTTAATATAAAAAAAAATATTTTTTTACTTTAAAAAAAAAGTATTTTTTTACTTTAAAAAAAAAGTATTTTTTTCTCATTAAAAAAAAAATGCAATATTTCGCCCATTTTTACAAATTCGTTCTGCTCACTCTTGGGACAAGTAGTGGAACAACGGTTCCAGGGGTTTTACTGGGAGGGAGTGAGGGACACCCCCCGCATACCTAACCGAACAGGTGTGCCAGGTTGAACTTAACATCGCAGCCAAGTTGGCGGCAAACCTCTTAAGTTAAATCCCTTCGTATGAGAGAGAGAAAAAGAACAGGGACGCAACCATCTTACTCTCATATTTTTTTTTTTTTTTTTGATTATAATGGAAAATTAAAAAAATAATTTTAAAAATTCAATTAAAAAAACTTTTAAACTAAATTCAAATAAAATGAATTAAAAAGAATAAATAAAAAATTATTTTTACATTCAAAATATTTTCAAATTTTTTTTTTTTTTTTGAAACTATACATTATATGAAGTGAGATTGTTTGCATTAAATACTACATTCCAAAGACACCAACAACCAGTTATATATATATATATGTATATATATATGAATCGGATTGGAATCCTCTGTGACTCATGAAATATTTCTTGCTTAAATATAAAATCATCGCACAATAAAAGTTAAATATGTGTGCTCATTTTACCGTTAAATGGACGATCAAAATTTTTTTGCGCACAATGTTTCAAAAAAAAAAAAGAAAAGTATTTTGATAATTTATATATAGATATATACGTTTAATGGAGAATTTCTATTGAGAGAAATTTAATTGAATTTTTAAAAAAGGGCCGAAACTCCGTTGGACCGAACAAAAACTTGTCCGAAGATTTAAAAAGACCGAATTTTAATATTTATCCGAAACTTTCACTTGCCCGAAATTTTAAAACTCCATTCGACTGAACAAATATTTGTCCGAAGATTAAAAATGCCGAATTTCCATTTTTTCCGAACTTTCACTTGCCCGAAATTTTAAAACTCCATTCGACTGAATAAACGTTTGTCCGAAGATTAAAAACGCCGAATTTCCATTTTTTCCGAACTTTCATTTGTCCGAAATTTTAAAACACCGAAACTCCATTGGACCAAACAAACATTTGTCCGAAGATTTAAAACTCCGAATTTTTTATATTTTTTGACCAAAACTTTTCAGCAGTTCGAACAAATGAAAGTTCGGTGAAATGGAACTTCGGTCTAATAGAAATTCAGTTAAAAAGAAATTCTGTTAATTAACATTTTTTTTTAATTTTCCGTTACTAAATTTTGCTAAATATAAATTTTAAATTAAGTTCAAGATTACTTTTTAAAATAAATTTATTATAAATTAATTAATAATTAAATTATTTAATTTACAACAAATATATATAAATTAATTAATAAAATGTGTAAAAAATATTACATTAATATTAATATTACTTTTTAGTGAAATATTACTTTAGACAATTTTATTTTTTAATTTATATAATGCAATTTAATAATTAATAATAATAATAATAATAATAATAATAATAATAATTTAATAATTATGTCTAAAGTAATCAATAAAAACTAATTTTTATATTATAGAAAGAAAAAGAAATTTTTAATAAGATAAAACTGTGGTGAACATAACCTGTAATTCGTTTGCTTCCATTCCTTCCATTTCTTCGTGACGCGTCACATATATTATACACTCAAATATTTAAAATAAACAAATTTTTAAGAATCACAAAACAAATATAACACTTTATAACACACAAATTGTTAAATATTTATCGATTTTAGATCGCGTATTGCCAGCACGTGTACGCAGCTGATCGGAAAGACTACACCATGATCTGCGCTGTGCTTATGGCGTTGATTTCACGCGCATGCGTATATGCATTTATTGAAAATAACCAAATAATTTTATTTAAATGAAACAAATTGCATTTTACGAACCAAATTATTTTTCAACTAAAGAATATACTTCAAAAAAAACACGTGTATGGTACTCAAATAATATAATAATATATAATAATTATAATATAAATATAAATCAAATATAAACAAAATATTAATAATAAAATAATTACCAGTAAATATATTTGATTGAAAACTGCTTCTAATCGCGTAATATAAACTAATAAATTTTAAAATATTATATTAAAGTTTATGTTTTTAGGTTATATAGAAAAAATGTGTTTTGACAACAGAAACGGTACTGCCAACTTAAAATAATGGCGCTAAATTTCAAAATTGAATCACTAATTAAATAATATTTTTTACTTAAAAATATTCGTACTGGTAAAAAAAAATCTTTCCATTATTAGAAAAAATAATAACTAAAATAAATTATTATGTTAAAGTAATTATTATGCATTTTATTGGAATTAATTAAATTTTTTGAAATTAATTAAACTTTTTAATACACGGAGGTTCTGCGTATTTCTGGCAATTTTTACTCTAGAAATAATATAGTAAAATTTACTATTTCCGGATTAATTTTTACTATTTTAGAAGTAAATTTTACTATTCTAGGAGTAAATTTTACAATTTTCGAAGTAAATTTGATTATTTCTGGTGTAAAAATTTCCAGCAATGGGCAGAAAATATTTCTGGCAATTATTACTCAAGAAATATAGTAAAATTTACGATTTCCGGAATAATTTTTACTACTTTAGGAGTAAATTTTACTATCCTAGGAGTAAATTTTACTATTTTCGGATTAATTTTTACTATTTTAGAAGTAAAAATTTCCAGAAATGAGCAAAAAATATTTCCGGCAGTTTTCACTCTAGAAATATAGTAAAATTTACTATTTCCGGAATAATTTTTACTACTTTAGGAGTAAATTTTACTATTAATGGAGTAAAAATTTCCAGAAATGAGCAGAAAATATTTCTGGCAGTTTTCACTCTAAAAATATAGTAAAATTTACTATTTCTGGAATAATTTTTACTACTTTAGGAGTAAATTTTACTATCCTAGGAGTAAATTTTACTATTTTCGGATTAATTTTTACTATTTTAGAAGTAAAAATTTCCAGAAATGAGCAAAAAATATTTCCGGCAGTTTTCACTCTAGAAATATAGTAAAATTTACTATTTCCGGAATAATTTTTACTACTTTAGGAGTAAATTTTACTATTAATGGAGTAAAAATTTCCAGAAATGAGCAGAAAATATTTCTGGCAGTTTTCACTCTAAAAATATAGTAAAATTTACTATTTCTGGAATAATTTTTACTATCTTTGGAGTAAATTTTACTATTTTCGGAGTAAATATTACTATTATTGGAGTAAAAATTACTATTTTCGGAGTAAATTTTACTATTAATGGAGTAAAAATTTCCAGAAATGAGCAGAAAATATTTCTGGCAGTTTTCACTCTAGAAATATAGTAAAATTTACTATTTCTGGAATAATTTTTACTATCTTAGGAGTAAATTTTACTATTTTCGGAGTAAATTTGATTATTTCTGGTGTAAAAATTTCCAGAAATGCGCAGAAAATATTTCTTTTAATTTTTACTCTAGAAATATAGTAAAATTTATTATTTCCAGAATAATTTTTACTATTTTAGGAGTAAATTTTACTATTTCTGGAGTAAAAATTTCCAGAAATGCGCAGAAAGTGTAAAAGTTATTTTATTCTTTTTTTCTATTTTTCTCCGTGTAGGGTAACTATAGGGTAATTAAACTGTTTAGTTAAGTCAAATAAACCTTTTTCATTGCAAGTGGTAAATAAGGGAAAAATTTAAAAAAAAAATTTTTTTAGATATAAAATACTAAAAAATATCTATTTAGAAAAATTTGTAAAACCATAATACACACTTGAGGAGTAGTGGCAAAACGAGGAGGAGCAACAGGACAAAAGAAAACATCAACACAAACGCGGATAGTCAATCCATTTTCACACCTGCGTCTCTAAAGAGTGAGAGAGAGAGAGAGAGGGGATCTGTTATGGTCTTCCTTCCGAAAGGACGACCTAACCTTGATGTTTTTGCGATTTGTATCGTCATTAATACATACACATACAAACATATATATATATGTATATAGAAGATATCAAGAGGGAAGATCAAGGATAAAAGGAGAAGAGAAGAGGCGAGAACAGAAAAGACCAAAGAGATGAAGAAAAGAAAAAGAGAGAGCGTGAGAGCGAGAAAATTATCGTCGTTGAGAGAGAGAAAGAGAAAAAAGGAGGCTGCGGCGGGGTCCATCTCTCTTTTTCAAGAGAGAACGGTTTCTCCCGGAGCAAAGGAGAGGAAAGAGAAACAGTCGCAACAGATGTACACACGTACTTACACTTACACTTTGAAATTTATATATATATATGTATATATATTTCTCAAGTGGAGAAGAGGCGAATGTATATAGAAAACTGAGAATGGCGTGCGAGGAGTTGATTCTCAACACAGCAGAGCAAGTGCCAGTTACCCAGCAGCAGTTGCCAAGGCTGGACATATATTTTATGACCACCAGGATTCAACGAGAGTAACCCGTCAAAGTCGATTTCCGTCTTTGCGGCACTGCTCATGGTCCCGGTGGTCCTCAATATTATTTTCCCCTACCCTAAAAAAAAAATTTTTATAAAAAAGACAAGTTTTCCTTAAAATTGTCTTCCATCCCCCTTAATACTTTCCTCCCTTAATAATATTTACCCCCCCCCACCCCGCTTTTTTTTATATGACTAGCAAAAAAATATATTTAAAAACTTGAAAAAAATTTTTTTTTCTTTTTAGCAAAACTTAAAATGTCATCGATTTTTAATTTCATTGCAAGTGTGAATGCAAGAATTAAAATTTGTGTGTGAGTGTGTGTGTTGATAAAAAAAAAATTTATAGGGGGGTGTATTTCCACCCCTTGAAAAAAAAATAAAAAAGGACGACACATTTGGGATTTTACACGATGATCGTTCTACGCATTGCAATTGTTTTGATCTTTCTTCATCGCACTGTTTCCGGCGAAATTACTACCGTCAAGGTAATTAAAAAATTTTCCGATTTGATAATTTTTTTTTTTTTTGAAAAATTTTCTATTTGTATTTTGTAATTATAATTTAATAATATTAAGTAATATATTCTATTAATTATTTTTTACCATGGGTAAAAATGGTTAATAATTTAATTAGTAAATTGGATTAAAAAATTATTTTTTGCTTTTGAATTAGTTAAATTTTACTAATTCGATAGTAAATAATTTTTTATTTACTATTAATTAGTTAAATTTTACTAATTCAAAAGTAAAACAGTAAAAAAATTAGGTATAGTAAAAAATTTTTAATTAACTATATATTAATTAGTTAAATTTTACTAATTCAAAAGTAAAATAGTAAAAAGTAAATAAATTCGATAGTAAAAAATATTTTACTTACTATTAATTAGTTGAATTTTACTAATTCGATAGTAACTAATTTTTTATTTAGGTACTATTAACTAGTTAAATTTTACTAATTCGATAGTAACTAATTTTTTATATCCTATTAACTAGTTTAATTTTACTAATTCGATAGTAACTAATTTTTTATTTACTATTAATTAGTTAAATTTTACTAATTCAAAAGCAAAAAGTAAAATAGTAAAAATTAAATAAATTTGATAGTAAAAAATTTTTATTTACTATTAATTAGTTAAATTTTACTAATTCAAAAGCAAAAAGTAAAATAGTAAAAATTAAATAAATTCGATAGTAAAAAATTTTTATTTACTATTAATTAGTTAAATTTTACTAATTCGATAGTAACTAATTTTTTATTTACTATTAATTAGTTTAATTTTACTAATTCGATAGTAACTAATTTTTTATTTACTATTAATTAGTTAAATTTTACTAATTCAAAAGCAAAAACTAAAATAGTAAAAAAGTAAATAAATTCTACAGTAAAATAGTTTTTTATTTACTATAAATTAGTTAAATTTTACTAATTCAAAAGCAAAATATGAATAACTAATTCGTATTGATTAAAATTTTTTCCAAATTTGAAGATAAATGAAAAAATTTCAATACACATTTATATGTGGAATTTCACTTTATAAATACTAATTTTATGCAGGAAACAATATTTTACGAGTGCTTGTAAAATATAATTTTTTTGTTTTAATTTTTTTTTTCTTTTTATTAATGTACCAAGAATTTCCTTTACAATTAGAGAAAAATTATTAAATTGCCATATATACAATGTTGCGTTAGGAGGGGAAAAAAAAAGAAAATTTATTTTACTGCCAGCATATAATTCATTTATATATTCGGTAGTAAAGATTATAAAAAACAATCAGTTTACATAAATATTAATTGGAAAAAAACTTGAAATTTTACGATGGCAATCAATTTATAGTTAAATTGGAAGCTTTAAAAAGTATATATACGTATATATATATATATATATATCTTTGCTTAGTCATATTTGTGTTTGCTATAATATATATATATATATGTTGAACATCCCTAGAGATTAGATTGTATGCATTGAATGGATACGCAAGATAATAATCCAAGTGAATTACAATTATAATTTATTATAGAGGAATGTTGACAAATCATTACGAAATTTCGTTCATGTTTTTTTTTCTCTTTTTTGTTACTAATAATAAAGATTATATATTTAGATTAATATAAAGTAACGTTTATATAAAAAACTATTTTTTTTATAAATTATATTATAATACAAATATATATTTTTATAAATTATATTATAATAAAAATTTATTTTTATAAAATATATTATAATAAAATTATATTTTCAATAAAATATATTATAATAAAATTATATTTTCAATAAAATATATTATAATAAAATTATATTTTCAATAAAATATATTATAATAAAAATATATTTTCAATAAAATAATTTATAATTACAATAAAAATAATATAATTATAGAAAATTTTGAAATGAAAACATTTTAAAATATGAAAAACTGGTTCATTAAATTTATTTTACATGGTATGCACCTGACACAATTTTTGATATCATGAAATCCTTGAAAATATTAACAAAAATAAAAAAACAATTCCAGTAATATTTGTTGCATTTCCGTTTTGTGATTTTTTTTTCTGTGCATTTAAGGATCTCATGTACCATTTACAAAAAAAAATATTAATTAAAAATTTTAATCGGAAAAATTAAATTTTATAATCATAATGTACCCGGATTTTAATTTTATTTTAAGAGAATTAATTGTTTTAATAAAAAAAAAATAATATTAATAAAAAATATTATATTATTAAAATATTATTATATTAATAAAAAAAAAATATAATATTATATAAAAAAAAAAATAGTTTCCCTCTTTGACATAAAGTAATTTGTGAAACAACACGAAATTCGCTATACAAGAAAATCCGGTTTAATGAGAGTTATAAATTTACGAATGATTTACATTTTTAATTTCTCATCGATCGAAAGTGAAAACGCGTTTGGCCTCGGTTCTTCGGCCTCTACTCCTGAGCAATAATAAGGACACACTGTATTACTATAAGTGGTGCCAATATAAACTTGTGATAAAGGAATCCCTTGTTTCAATTTTGTTGATTCCTTAAATAATTCCCAAAATAATTTCAAAAAAAAAGGAGTTAAAGAAAAGAAACTTTTTTTTTTATTGAAAAACGTTAAATTAAATATCAATAAAAAAAAATAAAAACAAAAGTTAAATATTAGTTATAAATATAGATTTAATAAATAATAATAATAATATAAAGTATAATCGATTTGAAATTCATATCAACGATGATACAATCCAAAATAACCGTTTTTATTCAAATCAACCAAATTCTGGAATTATGATCAAAGAAATCATTTATTTTAATGAATACAAAATTTTATACGGAATTTGAGAAGCAAATATTAGAAAAAAAATTATTCAAAGTGAAATTTTTTTTTAATTATTTATTTTACGAATTTTTTTTTTATTTATTTACAAGAAAATGAAAAAATATTATTAACATTCTTTTTTAATTTGTAAAATATTAGAAAAATAAATTTTTAAATAATATTCAATGATCAGAGAACGAGAATTTGAATATGTGAGAAACGATCAAAAAAAAATTACTACTGCGATGTCAGATTATTATTATTATTATTATTATTATATATTTATATTGGTGTAGTAAATGGCATTTCAGTTGCCGTCTCAGGTGTCACGATATATATATATGAAAATACACGCTCACCTGGTCAGGAGAGAAAGAAACTGGTTCGTTCCAAATAAGCCATTATCACTGTAAAGATCTGTCCTATAGATAAATGCAGTATAATATTCTATAAATCGTCAAGAGAATATCGAAGACGCTGATGGCTTTGCAGGGCCGCACCAAAAAAAAAAAATCGAAAATTATTTTTTTCCCAAAAAAAAATTTATAATCTCAAATTTTATTTTTCTTTATATGGAAAAATATTTCCAAACATTTTTTTTTTTGGCAAATATTTTTATTTATTTTAGCAATATATTATAATTTTATTTATTTAAGCAATATTTTTTTTTTTGGCAAATATTTTTATTTATTTTAGCAATATATTATAATTTAATTTTATTTATTGCAATTGTCATTTAAAAATTTGTCATAAAAATAGAAAAATAGAAAAATAATATAAAACAGTTTAAAAATAAAAATAATAAATAAAAAACATAATTAAAATAATTAATTATTAAAAAAATAATAATTTAATTAAAATATATAATGGTATTCTTACGGCTGTATTATTACACTAAAAAAAAATTCGTTTGAAGCAACCAAATTTTGGTTAAATCAACAAAATAAATGCATTGATAACAAGTTAACCAAACATTTGGTTGCATAAACCAAACGTTTATTTAGCTCAATTTTTTTCTTTGTTCAAAAAATTTATTAAAATAAACCAAACAGTTATTTAGATCAAATAAATATTTATTTGAATTAAACAAATTTTGTTTAAACTAACCAAAAAATTGGGTAAATATAAAAAAATGGTACATATCTTTTTTCTGAGTGTATTTAGTACAAATAAAAAAAAATTAAATTAAATTAAAATAATAGTAATTAAAATAAAATAAAATAAATTGTTTTAGTAGAATTTTAAATATTTAAATTTTTTAAATATTTAAATGTTTAAATATTTAAAATATGATTAAAGAAAAAAATTAATACAAAAATTTACAAAGTCCAACTCAATATTTCAAACATACTTCCTTGAGAGAGTAATCAAATAAATTTTTTTTTTTTTTTCATTCTCTGTGCAATTAAAAATATTCTCGGTCAGTAGTTTTCAATGATACATCAATATGAGTGTGTATATGTGTGTAACTGGCGCCTGTTGACTGACGCCAGATCAAAAAGATGCGATCGATCTTGTAATATATACCGATGTAATAATATCGTAAGATAAAAAGGTTCCTTTATACCATATATATATATATACCACAGAAAAACCTCGAGACAACATACACGAACAAGTTGAGGTTATTTGCGAGTGATTTGAATGCTGTTGCACATTCGCGATGCGCGACTAATGTATTACATACGCGCTCATAGAAAATACGAGACAATTGATCGAGTCAAGTCACGAAACGATGCCTTTGACGCGAATTGACCCATAGGATCGAGGCTATCATCAGGAATTTATATATATAATAGTGCACGTGTGTAGTATTTTTTTTATTATTTTTTATTCCAAAAACATTGTTTCTCTAAAATTTTTATCGAAAAAAAAAAATCGGAGAGAAAAAATTTTAAAAAAATTGATAAATTTCTATTTAAATGTGTAAATAAATAAATTATATTGAATAAATATTAAATTTTTTAATTATTATACACCCTAAAAAAATGATATATTTGTCACAGGGACAAAGAAAAATATTTATTTGTATCAAATAAATTTTTATTTGTTCCAAATAAATTTTTATCTGTTCTTTATTTTTATTCGTTTCAAATAAATATTTATTTGTTTCAAATAAATTTTTATTTGTTCCAAATAAATTTTTATTTGTTCCAAATAAATTTTTATCTGTTCTTTATTTTTATTCGTTTCAAATAAATTGTTCCAAATAAATTTTTATCTGTTCTTTATTTTTATTCGTTTCAAATAAATTGTTCCAAATAAATTTTTATCTGTTCTTTTTTTTTATTCGTTTCAAATAAATTGCTCCAAATAAATTTTTATCTGTTCTTTATTTTTATTCGTTTCAAATAAATATTTATTTGTTTCAAATAAATTTTTATTTGTTCCAAATAAATTTTTATCTGTTCTTTATTTTTATTCGTTTCAAATAAATTTTTATTTAATTGGAAATAATTATTTAGTTCTTTCAAATAATTTTTTTTTTTTGATTTAAATAAAAATTTTATTTATAACAAATAAAATTTTTATTTACGCTAAATAAATGGGCTGAGACAAATACATATATACAATTTAACTCAAATATATTATATATTTGATTGAAATAAAAAAATTTCTCTGGGTGTGAAAATTAAAAAAAAATTAAAGAAATTTTTTTTTTAAATTATTATAAAATGAAAAAAATTTTAAAGATCAAAGAAATATTACATAGTTCGTAAGGCGAATTCCAAACCCCATTAATCACACGTAATATATCATATTGACATCGTTCTCTTGACAAGAAATATATATATATTTGCCAAATCGATTATTAGCCATTTGCCAACTGTCGCTTTTATAATACATAACAAATTAATTAGGGTTGAAATTATTAGAAGTTTAATCAAACTGAAATCAATATATTATAATTTATGTCACATCACGTTTATTATTATTGCAATTTATAAATTTTCTATACTAGATCAGTTTTCCTTCTCGATAAATTTATTTTCGTTTTCAAATTAATTTTATTATATTATAAATGCAAAAAAAAAAAAATTATTCTATCGCACCAAGAGAAATTTTTTTTATATTTTTCTCAATTAAATATTTTTATTTGATTTAAATAAAAAATTATTTAGTTTAAATATAAATATTGATCCAAAAAATCAGAACTAAAATTACGAACGACGAATATTTATTTATTTAGAAAGAAAGAAAGAAAATATATAACAATACTGATGATTATTTATCGAAATACATATATATGAATAATCATATATTGAAAGAAATCAATCTAATCAGCATTTGATTTATTTCAATTCATTAAATATTCCTCGTATATTATTTTTTTTTTTTTCACTGAGAGATAACAAGTTAAAATTAATTCAAGAGAAACATAATACACAAATCAATTACAATTACAATTTTTTTTTTTTTTTTAATGAGTATAGTAATTGCCCCCTCCCCCACTTTTTTGTGACTTTCATTTTTTAATATTATACACGTTTTGCTTAAATAAAAAAAGGAAATCGATTTATTTTTCTAATTCTACTTTTTTATTAAAAAAAAAAAAAAAAAAACAAGGAAAAAAAAGAGAGAATAATATAACAGAGTGAAACACGTAAAGGCGCCAACTCTGATACCTTGAGCATATTTAATGACTCATTTACATTCGCACACTGAACTTTTATTATATCGACATTACGGATTTCTATTGCTCGCAAATTGCACATTTAAATTTTTTATCAATTAAAATAATATTTTATAAATATTATATGAATCCTAAAATTGGATTATTAAAAAAAAAAAGAAAAAATTATAAAAAAATTACATTTGAAGGAACAATTTGAGGGGATTTCAATTTTTTTTTTTTTTTAAATGAGAGAATCAAAATTCCATTGAATTAAACATCGTAATTTTTTTTTTTGTGAAGAGTCATAACTGTTTGATAACTATGAAATCATATATAAATGACTTGTCCTCATATCTTTTGATATGTTAACAATGATTCACCTCTAATAGCATATATAAATATGTCTTATACTGAGAATTATAATATATATATATATATATTGTATATTAATTGTATTGTTTTTTTAAAATAAATTTTTTATTTACAATCTTTTAATATTTATTTAATTTTTTTTCGATATACTTTTATTATTAAATTTAATCTAATTATTAATGAAAAATAAAATATATTTTTGTTTTATATTAATTTATTAGTTATTAATAAATAATTAAATAATTATTAATAATTAATTAATTTAATTCAATTGAAAAAAATATTTATTATATATTAATTTATATATTTATTTATATATTTATTTATATATTTATTTATATATTTATTTATATATTTATTTATATATTTATATATTTATTTGTATATTTATTTAAGGTAAAAATTTATTATTTACTGTATATTTTTAACTAACAAAATTCTCAGCACGTGTAAAGTTAAAAATGATTTAATTCTCAGTCATTTCAATCCAAGTTGAAATGTATTAATGTCTTAATTCTTTTTGATCTGAAACACTTGCATACGCCATTTGAATTATGTTTAATTCCTTGAAACAATATATCGTACTCTATATTTCAATTTTAAATTCGAAATGTAAATATAATTATGAAATATTATATCAGCGTAATTAATTGAGAGTTGAAAATTGACGATAATTTTGAAAATTATAAAAATTATAATAATTATAATAATTATAATAATTATTAAATTATTAAAATTTAATTATTGAAATTAAATCAAAATAAAGTAAAAATTACTAATTATTAAAATATTTGAATTAATCAATAATTAAAATAATAATAATTAATAGTTATTTATTAATAATTAATCATTAAAATTAAATTAAAATAAATTAATAAGGATTAAATTATTAACTACATTAAATTAATTAAAAAATAAATTAGTTTTAGCTAGACTATAAATATATTATTTAGAAGATGAAGTAAAAATTCTCTCTCTATTAGAAATACGAACTTTTTTTTTCTTTTTGTTTTTTTACATCATTAGATTTTATTGGCTTTTCTCGATTTGGCACAAGTCCATTTAACGATAGTCGTGATGAATTTTCTAATAGGCTTTTTGATTTGCAGGAAGACTGCGAAAAGAAAATGCAAGAGTGTACAAACAGCAGTATAGGAACAAATGTAGCTGTGTGCGGAAGCGATGGAATCACGTATCCCAATCGATGTGAAGTCATCTCTAGACAATGTCAAGGAGTATCTATTCTTATAAAACACACTGGGCCCTGTCCAGGTAAAATTCATCATTAACAAAAATTATTTTTTTTTTTATTAACAAAATTTTTAATTAAAAAATATTTTTTTTTTATTAACAAAATTTGTAACTAAAAAACTTAGTAATTAAAAAAATTAGTAATTAAAAAATTAGTAACTAAAAAAATTAGTAATTAAAAATATTAGTAATTAAAAAAATTAGTAATAAAAAAATTAGTAATTAAAAAAATTAGTAACTAAAAAAATAAGTGACTAAAAAAATTAGTAATTAAAAAAATTAGTAATAAAAAAAATTTGCAATTAAAAAAATTAGTAACTACTCTCTAAATCTGAATTAGTAAAAATGTTTACTAATTTGAATTAGTGACTCACTTTCTGCTTCTGAATTAGTAAAATTTTACTAATTATTAGTAACTTTTACTAACAATTAGAAAAATTTAACTAATTCAGAAGCAAAAAGTGAGTCACTAATTAAAATTAGTAAACATTTTTACTAATTTAGATTGAGAGAGTAAAAAATTTGTAGTTAAAAAAATTGTTATTAAAAAAATAGTAATTAAAAAAATTAGTAACTAAAAAAATTAGTAATCAAAAAAATTAGTAATAAAGAAAATTTGCAATTAAAAAAAATAGTAACTAAAAAATGTGTAGTTAAAAAAATTGTAATTAAAAAAATTTGCAATTAAAAAAATTTGTTAATAAAAAAATTATTTTTATTACAAAAATTTGTTAATTAAAAATAATTTTTTTTTTTTTAATTTGCCACCAGAATGTCATGCAGCAAGAGCAGAGGCAAGAAGTCCAGGTGCACGACCAATTTGTCGCAATGATGGTTCCTATGCACCTGTACAATGTCACACTAAAACTGGCTATTGTTGGTGTGTAACGCCACAAGGTCGTCCATTACGCGATACATCAGTGAAAAATCGCAAACCACGATGTCCAACATTCAATAATAATTATATTGCATCAACAAGAAGTGCACCAAGTAGACGTCCACCAACAAGAGCAAATCATAAAAAATATGGCGGTCGACATCGTAATTCTTGTGATCGTAGTGAAAAATCAAAATTCAATAGTAATCTCATTGAAAATTTCAAAATTGAATATCGTAGAATCAACATAACGATAGAAGGTGAATTTTTTCTCCACGCATGAAAGGTTATAATAATAATAATTAATAATAATTAATAATTTGTCGAAAAAAAAAAGAATTGCTGTATAAATATTTAAAATATAATTTTTTATATTAATTAATATAATTAATTTAATAATAATTAATAATAATATAATAATATAATATAATAGTTAATAATAATTTTATAATTAATTAATAATATAATTTTTTTTTCTCTTTATTTTCAGGGGACAAAAATATTGAAAGAGTACTATCGTGGAAATTTGTGACACTTGATCAAAATAATGATGGTTTTTTGGATAAAGGAGAATACAAAGAATTGAGGCGTCTTGCTAAAAAAGCGGTGCGTCCAAAAAAATGTGCACGTTCATTTGCACGTAATTGCGATATCAATAGAGATTTGAAATTATCACGACAAGAATGGGGTGCATGTCTTGCCAATGATTTTACTCGTAAGTTGAAAAAAAAAAATTCATTTTACATTTTTAGTAAACGATACGGTAAATTAAAATATAAAAACAAGAATTCGTTATCAATTTTTTAAAATTTTAGTTCTATTTGTTTTTTCTTAGATAATGTAATCTATAGTTTATCTACCTTCAATTTTTTTCTTTTCGAAATTCCGTTTCAATATTTTTTTCCCTTTCTGTTCATAAATAAGTACTATTTTTTTTTTAATTTTATTTGATTTATAAAATATTCGTTTCAAATATTAATTGTCTCAAATAAATGTTGTTTGATATAAATAAATATTTATTTGGTTGAAAAAATAAATAAAATAAAAAAATATATTTATTTAAACCAAATAAATATTTTTTTCAACAAAATAATTATATTTATTTGGTTTAAATAAATATTTTTTTCAACGAAATAATTACATTTATTTGGTTGAAATAAATATTTTTTTCAACAAAAAAATTATATTTATTTGGTTGAAATAAATATTTTTTTCAACGAAATAATTACATTTATTTGGTTGAAATAAATATATTTATTTGTTTCGAAAATAAATTCTATTTTTTAAATTAAAAATTTAATTTTCTAAATAACATTTTAATTGGTGCTAAATTAAATTTATTTGAAACAAAAATAAATTTAATATAAATAATTTGTTTTATTACAAATAAAATTTATACAATTTCAAAAATAAATGCGAATAAAAAATTTCTCCGGATATATAATTAAAAAAAAAAAAAATTTACTCTAAATACAATTAATTATTAAATTAATTGCAAAATTCTTCAATGCAAATTATAAAATAGATTTATTTTATTAGAAGCATTTGAAATATGTTTTATAATATATAGGAGAAATGAAAAATATTCATTACATATATATCTGAAAAAGATAATTGATTTCGTATATTTATGAAAAAAGTAAATGATAAATTTTTTCATAATAAAATTTTATTAACCACTCTATATCACAAGAGAGCACGCGAGTGAATATATAAATATATTTATAAATATATAGGCATATATATTTATAAATTGTAAATTTTTGTGATATGAACTTTAAAATCCCATTCGTCTGTAATGAAAAACATGTCTATAGTATGAGTAATAAATAAAAACAACGGCGACGTTAATTTCCATTCAGTAGCTAACGTCTGCACGAGCTGTTAATAAATTAATTCAACGCCACTTGGTGGTTACCCTGTATGTTGCCTTATTACTTATTCCATTTTTAAATACATATATAAATGCACCAACATTGCGCAAGAAGCACTGTCTTGATGCGTTTCCTTACTTATATATATAATTATAATTATATTATAATTATAATAATAATAATTATTATAATTATATTATACTTATAATTATAATAATAATTATTATAACTATATTATAATATAATTATAATAATTATTATTATTATATTATAATTATAATTATAAAAATAATTATTACAATTATATTATAATTATAGAAAAACTAATTTTAATTGCACTGAAAAAAATTTATTCGGTTCAAATAATCGTTTACTTGAATAATAAATATTTACTTTGATTCAAATAAATTGCTTTTTAATTCAAATAAATTTTTTATTTAATTTAAATAAAAAAAATTTATTTACTCCAAATAAATAGGCTGTGGGACAAATATACATTTATTTAACACAAATATATTATATTTGGTTGAAATAAAATATTTCTCTATGTGAAGTAACCGATTATTTGAATCAAATAAAATTTTTTTTTTCAGTTTACCTTTAAGTTAAAATAATTTTTTTCTATAATTTACTGCATTGCATATTATTAATTCAATATATTTTTACCACTGTTAAGAGGGTTTTAGGACAAAAAATTTTTTTTTCAAAAAAAAGAGAAAAATTAAAAAAAAATTATTGTTAAACTAATTTGAAATTGACGTTTTATAGAATACAAAAATAGAACTGACAAGTATAGTAAATTGTTTGATTCAATAAACTTCAATTGAAGTTGACAGGCAAATTGAAAGGGAGGGGGTATATTATTTTTAGTAGGAAGGAATTATTTTTATTTTATTATTATTATTATTATTATTATTATTATTTTTATTTTTATTTTAATAATATTTTTATATTCGGTAACAAAATTGTGATTTTTTTGAGGGAGAAATTTTAATGGAAAAGAAATTTTTGATTTTAAAAAGCGTTTAATTAAAAATTAGTAAAAATTTTCGAAATTTTGTGAACAATGAATTGAAAAATAAAAAAATATACAATGACTAAACTGAATCATAAAACGAGACGTGCTAGACGTACTTCCGGAGGATGCTTGCGGGCGGTCTGGTTTTATTTAATACAATAATTGCTGAATCTACACTTATAAACATGTTCCCACTTATCAAAACTTTGTAGTGGAGACTATATATATATATATATAAGTCTTCTTATAAATATAAATTCTTTTTCTTTTTCTACTTACAGAGTTTGTGTGTGTGTATATAAAATCGTTTCAAATTATCAGACCAATTCTATATATTGAAATTTAGATTCCCCTTTAGTGTTTTATACTCTCACCGGACGTTTGCTTTTTGCAACCCACGCATCACAAGGCAGACAAATCAAAAGAGTAACTGACCTCTTGTGAGAATCTATAGTTATATATTCAACATCTTGTAATTTCTCCATTATAATTGCTTCAATACAAAAAAAAATACTTAAGAAGCCTCACTGCTTAATAAATATTTATTTTATTCAAATCAATTTTTATTATCTATTATTTTGTTTATTAATTATTTTATTATTTTTTATATAAATTTTTGTTTTTTAAATAAATTTTTGTTTTTTAAATAAATTTTTATTTTTTAAATAAATTTTTATTTAATTTAAATAAACAAATTTCATTTACACCAAATAAATAAAAAAATTGTTTTTCTTATCCGCTTAAAATTTGTTGCGGAATTTTTCCTATAAAATTAATAATAATTAAAGGGAATTAAAAAATTATAATTAAATATAAATTAAAATTTCAAGAAAGAAGAAATATTAATGTTTTTTTTTTTTGCAGTTTTACGTGGCAATCCTTCAACGTACTCTCGACCTGCTTTCAGAGACGATCCACCAGATTCATCTGATGATATCGATGGTAAGAGATATAATTTTTTATTATAAATTAAATTGGGACAAATTTTTGTGCCAAATAATTGCAAAAAAAAATAAAAAATAAGAATGAAAACAGTTTCGACGCCCCTACTCGAAGAAATTATAATTAATTATAAATTATTTATTATTATTAATTAATTATAAATTAATTATTATTACTAATTAATTATAAATTAATTATTTATTATAAATTAATTATTATTTATAATTAATTATAAATAAATTATTATTACTAATTAATTATAAATTAATTATTGTTATTAATTAATTATAAATTAATTATTATTTTTAATTAATTATAAATAAATTTTTTTTTCGCAGCCAATGACTGTTTATCAGATAGAAAATTAGTGTTGGAAGATTCAAAAACAACATCAGAAGAAAAATTCTACATCCCTCAATGTACACCCGATGGAAGATATCATAGAGTACAATGTTATTCAGGATATTGTTGGTGTGTTTATCAGGATACGGGAAAACCAATTCCTGGTACATCGTCAAAAACAAGAGAGCCAAATTGTACACCAGTTTCAATTCCTGTCCGACCAATGAGTGGTAATTAATTATTATTATTAATTAATTATTATTTATTATTAATTAATTTTTTTTTTTTTTACAATAAAAGATTTTAACAAAAAAAAATTATTTTTTTTCCCCCAGGATGTCCCGAACCAAAAAAAGAAATATTCCTACGAGATCTCATGCAATTATTGCACAGAAAAATGAAATCTGCTGATCCTGATTCTAATGAGACTTTTGCCAAATGGCAAGTTCCTAAAGAAGAAAGAACTGCAACCTGGCATTTTGTGATGCTCGATATAAATAAAAATAAGGTAATGAATTTTATTTCAATTAGATTAATTATTTAATTAATTAATAGTAATTTTTAATTAATTTAATTAATTTTTTTTTTATTTAATTTAAAAAAAATATTTGCAAAAAAAAATTTTTAAACTTAGAAAAACTAAAAAAAAAAAATAAATCCATAGAAAAAAAAAATGCGCAAATAATTTTTTTACGATCGTATTTTATTATTAAAAAAAAAAATGTATTAATTTCAGGTATTAGAAAGAAAAGAATGGAAAAATTTTCGTACAATGGTTGCGCATTATCCACATTTAAGAAGATGTGGAAAAAAATTCCCGAAATATTGTGATGTTAACAATGATAGACGAATAAATATGTCTGAATGGCTCAGTTGTCTTAATACACAACGATTCACTCCAGGTAAATAATAATAATTTTTTAAATATATTTTAATAATAATAATTTTTATTATTATTATTATTAAAATACATTTAAAAAAATATTTTTGTATTATTAAAATACATTGAAAAAAATATTTTTGTATTAAAAAAAAATATTATTTTCAACAAATTTTTTTGCACAGAAACGAGCACCGAAAAAACATCAACATCTAAACCTAAAAGAATGGGTCCAAATCCTCTCGATCAGTTCCTAAACGATGATGATTAGAATGTGATAAAAAAAAAATAATTCTAAACGTAACTTGCGTTTACAGAAAAAAGGTGCACAAAACATTTTTTTTTGTATAATTGTATTTGTCAAATTTTAATAAGTGTTTTTTGTGAAATTTACTCTTATTTTTTTTCTTTGAATTAAAATTATTATTATTATTATTATTTATTTATAAGAACGATACCAGTTACAATTGAAAAAAAAAATTATGTATTATTCTTTATAGATATAGTGAAAATAAAAAAAATCCTCTGTTATTATATTCTATTATCTTGTAAGAGTTTATTTAAAAAAAAAAAAAAAAAAAGAATTGTTAAATATCTAATTATAAGCGAAAAAAAATTAATTTTAATAAAAATTTGAGAGCATAAAGGTGTACACTTATATGTAGAAAGAGTAAACACTAATCAGGCGCTTATTTTAAAGATTCTATTTTATGATTTATATTTGAAATTTTTTTTTAACAATATTATTTAACAATTTTTTTTTCTTCTTTTTTTTTAACAAATAAACGTCATTCCTTTACAATTGTTTCTTCACTAAAAAATTGGATATGTCCTAGAAAAATCATATTTAACAGAGTGACCACAATGAAATAGACAACAAGATGATAAACTACCTAAAAAATATTTTCAAAATATAATTATATTTATTATTAATAATTGTTTATTATTAATATTTATTAATTTAAGTAATAGTAAAAAATTAAAAAATTGAAATTTTCAAAAAAGTTTTTATTTTAAGTAAAAAATATTTTTTAAAAGAAAATTAATTACTTCTTGATCTCGCATATCATATCGAAATCCCCAACGGCAAATGCAGAGCCAACTTACTAATGATAATAAAATATAAAATCCCGATAAAGGAGAAGCGTGCACATTCACTGTCAACATTTGTATAGAAATAAATAACTTTTTTTACCACCTTTCATCTGATTTTCAGACTTTGCAGTCTTATCAATAGTTTGGTAAAAATTACAATTCATTCTAAAACTAAAAAAAAAACGTTTTTTTTTTTTGAAGAGGTTAAAATATTATTTCTTTTTTCAAATTTTTTATTACATAGATATTTACTTGCAATGAAATTTTTTTTTCCTTTCTTTATTCAGATCACTTTTGAATTAATTAAAAAATTTAAATCCTTTTTTTTAATTTTTTTTTTTTTTTATATATTATTTCACACTGAAAATTTTGACACGAAAACTCTAATAATAACGCATATCAATTGTTTTTCTCTTCAACAATTTTTTTTTACAAATAATAAAAAATGAAAAAGAATAATAAAAAATTTGAAAAAAGAAAATTATTAAAATTCAGTGAATAGAATCGCAAATTTTTATTTAATCACTAAACTCTGGCTTACAAAATATACGGATAACATTATTCTTAAAGCGAAAAATTTTTTTTAATAATAATCCTCACATAATCATCACATTTATATTCCCGCGGATTTATTCCACAATAGATCTGAAATGTAGTTTGAATGATATTTTTTTATACGATATACCATATATATATATATTTATATAACTTTAAATATTTAACCTGAATATATTAAATTTTTATATTATATTTATTAATAACTCAAATTTCTTTTATCCATTATACTTTGTCAATTTCTCTTTTTATCGTAAATTTAATTATTTTCAATACATTTTACAATAAATGAAAATTAAATTCTTCGATTTTTATTCTGATTAATAATTTTATAATATAATTTTGTAATATAATTTTATAATATAATTTTACAATATAATATTATAAAATAATTTTGTAACATAATTTTATAATATAATTTTATAATATAATTTCATAAAATAATTTTATAATGTTATTTTATAAAATAATTTTATAAAATAATTTTATAATATAATTTTGTAACATTATTTTATAACATAATTTCATAAAATAATTTTATAATATAATTATATAATGTAATTTTATAAAATAATTTTATAATATAATTTCATAAAATAATTTTATAATGCAATTTTATAAAAAAAAATTATAATGTAATTTTATAAAATAATTTTATAATATAATTTCATGAAATAATTTTATAATATAATTTCATAAAATAATTTTATAATGTAATTTTATAAAATAATTTTATATTATAATTTCATAAAATAATTTTATAAAATTACATTATAAAATTATATTATAAAATTATTTTATGAAATTATAATATAAAATTATTTTATAACATAATTTTATAATGTAATTTTATAATATAATTTTATAATTTGATTTTATAATTTAAATTCATAATGAAATTTTATATGATTATAATTTATTAAGAATTAATTATTTGAATTTTATTAATTAATATTGTAATTAATTTTATGAATAACAATTTTTTTTTAATTATAATTTAATAATGTAAAATGTATAAAAATAATAATTATATTTACGAAAAAAAAGAGAATCACGTATGAATCGTGTTGAAATTATCCTCATAGAGCACCATTATAAAATCCTTATTCTAATTCTGTGCGTTGTATGACTTATATGGTATTTTACTTTTCTGCAATTAAAGCATGCATCGCTCGTTTTTATATTTCAGGATGGCAAAAAATTAATTTTATTCTCACTTTAAATTGAAATCACAAGATTTCACCTTCGTTTTTTCTTTTTTTTTTTGCTCTTTTTTATAGTTCAAAAAAGAGAAAAAATTTTTTTTCTTAACTTCTACAAATCACATTCTGAAAATAATTTTTTTTTCCCCCTTCCTTTTTTTTTTGCTTATTCTCAGACACCATTTGAAATAAAAAAATTATTCTAAATAATAAATAATTAATGTACCATGTACATTAATTATTTAACTATTAATGTGTGACACAATATTTAGTTTGTAAATACATGAAATCTTTTTAAAAGACAATAAATAGGGAATTAAAAAATTACACATTTAGAAGAAAATAAAAAAAATCATTTTTTTGGAAGAGTTTGAAAAATTGGGTATTTTGAAAAAAAAAATTTGTGAATATTTTTCATTTTTTTATAAACAAATTTTCTTTTTTTGTGTGGATAAACAATTTTTTGTTTTATTTTTGTGCAATGTTTTTTGTACATTTTTTTTTGTGCTTCCACTATTTTCTTTTCGTTTATAAATCAAACTCTTCCAATTTTTTTTTCTATTTTATAAATATTAAACTATTTTTCATTATTTTTTTTAAAAATGATTTTAACATCTTAATGCATATAATTAGATATAAATTATAGCTATAAAAAATCGACAATATGTTTCATAAGCATATTTGGTATTTTCCTCTCGGCATGTTTCTAAAATTTAAATTGGAAATTCGTTAATGGCGATTTTCGCGCATTTCCCTCTTCCGCCCCCCACCCAACATTTTTTTGTTAGCAATTTTTTAAAAACTAAGAAGATGGAATCAGAATCAATCTGATTTGAAAAATTGTTTTATTATTATGGAAATTGAAATATTTTATAGTAAATAATTTTTAATTAATTTTAGTTTTAATAAATTAATATTAATTTTTTTAAATTAATTTTTTTAAAAGTACAATAATATTATTATTTATGGTAATAAAATAATAATTATAAAATTAAATTTTATTTTAAAAAATTTTAATTCATTTTTTATTGAAAAATGTTTGAAAATAAAATATTCAATTTCCATTGAGAATTTTGATATAAAATTGTTTTTGAAAATTTTTCCCTATAAAACATTTGAAATTTTTATTCAATCTTTTCACACACAAATTGATTCCTTTTATTTATGAAAAATTGTCATAAATTGACAATATATTTACTAACTTTTTACTCTCGATTTTATAATCGATTTATTACATTCTTGTACGAAATCTCCCATTTTTTTTTGAGCGCGAAAAACTAATCGAAAAGCCAGTTTGGATAAAAAATACACGCGTATATAAAAAATTTCACGCATTTAGCACTTGATAAAAAAATGGCATGTTTGAGCAAGGCAATATTTTGTTTAGCATGTTTTTTCATTTTTTTTTCAAGCAACAAAAAAATATATAAGCTAACATTTTTTTTTTTTTTTTTTTTTCCATAAGCAGCTTAGTTAATTCTTTTTCTTTTTTTTTTTCATTTCCTCACATTCATTTATTCCTTTTATAATCCTTTGGCAACTATATTTTTCCTTTTTTTTTGTTATTAGTATATTTTTAAAACTTTCTTTCAAAAATTTTTTTTCCTCACACTTTCTTAAATTGTATTTTTTATTTAATTATATATTAATACTTTCTGAAGGTCTATTATATTGAAAAAGTGGAAACAGCTGAATTTCATTAAAATATGTATGTGAAAATTATTCAAAAAAAAAAAATTAAATTTTATCTGCTTTGATTTGATTTTACAAATCAAGATTTCGCATTAAATTGACTATATCCCTTTTTCTTTTCACAATGATTTATACAATAAATTTTTTCAATGTTTTTTTTTTATTAGTATTTTTTCGCAACCACACTTTAAATGCAGGCTTACACACTGAATGAGATTAATTATTAAATTCTACTGCAAAAAAAAGATTATTTTTTAAATATTAATTTTAAAAAATTTATTTATTTTTAATTTTTTTTTAATTTTCTTTATGGAAAAAATTAATTTTCTATTTTAAAACAATTTTCAATTTTTTTTTTAAATAACGCCTTTTTTTCAAAAACGAAGAGTAAAATTAATTAATTAATTTCGTTCAGTTTTTAAAATTCTATAGTGAAATATACATTAAGGAGAATGCAAATTTTTACAATTTTTTTTTTTATTTTTATGTTTCTGTTTTTCTATCATTTATGATGATTCTTATCAAATTTGTGGAAAAATTCTTATCCGACGAATAAATATTGGGTGACAATAATAATTATTTATAATAAAAATAACTCGCGTCTGTATGTCCATACTAAAAAAAAAAAAAAACATGGGTCAGACTTAATTATTGGCAGACTTAATGAAACTTACAACTATGGGTCTAGGAACACATTGATTTGTAAATAATTAAAAAAAAAAAGAAAAAAAAATTGTTTCACCCCTTGGACACACGAGACACTCGTTTTTTTTTTTTTTTTTTTTATTTCTATTTTTATCAAATAAATTTTTTTCCGTCAATTTATATTATAGGAATTTTTTTTTTTCAATTTTTTCTATCGATTTACGTCCTTAATTTTCGTGTATTTAATAATTATTTTCGCGTCAAGGAGACACGTTAGCGTTCTATAAATAAACTTATCGCGAATCTTAGAAAAGTCTAATCTTATATTTTAAGTAATCATACATACACTCACACACGCTTATATGACGTGATTACGTCATTATAGTGTTCGCCAAAAAAAAAAACATTAGGCGCTAGCGGTAGAGCGCTACAATTTATATTATTTTTTATTTATTTATTTTTATTTCACGGTCACGTTTTTAATACGTCACAGAGGATAACGTTCGTTAAACACACTGCAAATAACAAGCAACAAGTGGCGTTTTTTTTTAATACCACAAAAATTTTTATACGTTTTGCCGTTTATTTATTTTTTTTTTAAATTTAATTTTTTGCAAAGTAGAAAATTGAAGTAAATTATTTTTTTGAAAATTTTAAAATAAAAAAAGAGGGAAAATCAGAAAATGTTTTTTTTTCTCAAAATATGAATTAGTAAAAAATTTTAACTAATTTGAATTTTACTCACTTTTTGCTTATTTGAATTAGTAAAAGAAAATAAATTTTTTTTTCACTATCGAATTAGTAAAATTTAACTAATTCAAAACTAAAAAAGTAAATAATTCAAATTGATTAAAATTTTTCTAATTCGCAAATTTAGAGAGTAATTAATTTAAAATAAATTAAAATTAAAATTAAAATTAAAATTAAAATTAAAATTAAAATTAAAATTAAAATTAAAATTAAAATTAAAATTAAAATTAAAATTAATTTAATTTGAATTTAAATTTAATGAAAATAAATTGAATAAATTTTAATTAATAAAAAATCAAATTTTTTATATTCACTTGAAAATAAATTAATTAATTAAAATTAATTCAATTTATAATTTTATTTATTTATTTATTTATTTTTATTTATAATTGAAAATAAATTGAAAATAAAATAATAATAAATTAAAATAACTTCAAAAAAAAAAATTGAATAAATTTTAATCAATTTAAAAAATCAAATTTATTAATTTCACTTGAAAATAAATAAATTAATTCAATTTATATAATTGAAAATAAATTTGAAAATAAAATAATAAATAATAAATTAAAGTATAACTTGAAAATAAAATTGAATAAATTTTAATTAATTCAATTTATTTTCTATTTCAATTTATTATTTATTATTATTTTATTTTCAATTTATTTTCAATTATAATTTGAATATATTTTCATTAATTAAATTTATTTTTAAGTGAAATTAAAAATTTTGGTTTTTTTTTTTTTTTTAAATTACTCACAGTGTGTTTATAAAATTTACAAATACAATTAGTTCTCGAAGCAAACTCCACTTGAGATGAAATATTCGAATTTAATGAAAAATGATTTTTAATGACGCAGCGAATGATTGTGACAACGAAAAGAAGATATATATGGGAGAAAGGCACTTTTGAACACAGGAAGCGCCTGGATTCTGAATATCTTGCCAAGCACAGAATCTCTCCTCTCTCTCTCTCTCACTTTTTTTTTCTCCACCCCCTTTTTCTCAACCCCCCCTCCCTCCTTTTTTTTCCTTCCGAGAAATTCAAAACAAGGTTCGATTTCATATCCCCTGTTTCAAATATTAAGAGAAAAAAAAAATTTGGATTTTTCGAAATAATTTTTATATTTATCAAGTAAAATTAAAAAATTTGAAAAAAAAATTGAAATAATTTTGAAAATTAAAAATTTTAATTCACACCAATTTGGAGTTACTTATTTGGGTTTTTTTTTTTTATTATGAGTATGATAGTAAGATGTAATTGAGAAATATGTATAAATTCTTTAATACGCAAAAAATTTGATTGCGATTAAGAAATTTGTGGACCAAATATTTTTATGTGGATTCGATTTTTTTTTTTTATGTATCGAGAGCACAGTAATTTTTTTTTTTTTTTTTTTTCAATGTTGACTAAACAAGACTGTGCTCCCTCGAATCACAACGATGAGTGTAAAGAATGGACGAGTTTGTTCCAGGTGATGTCGAAGATGAGGCTGTTGTCGAACATGGTGATGACGCCATGACTCTCTTCGACTTCTGTGGCACCTAGGTATTGTGACCTTGTTTTCGTATTTTATTCTCCAAAGCTGATGTCGATCTACCGACGAGATTCTCCAATTCATCAGGTGTCAATACTGTGAATTCTCTGTGAAAATTTATTATTTTTTTTTTTTCCCAATTTTTTTTTTACTTCTCTAATTAAAAAATCCTAATTTATATTAAAAATTATATTCAATTATTAATTTATTATTATAATAATAATTAATAATAATAATTAATAATTAATTAATAATTAATAATAATAATTAAATAATTATTAATTAAATATATAATTAATATAATCATATAATAATAAAATTATTATTAATTTAATATATTATTAATATAATAATGATAATAATTAAAATTAAATAATTACCAAAAAAAATTATAAATAATTTTTTTTTTATAATTTTAATTGAAATTTTTTTTTTTCGTTTTTTTACCTGTGTTGAGCTAAAAGCATATCTATACTGGTAACACTTCGTTGATGTGCGCCATCTTTTTGTGAAGCTTTTTGCTTTCTGATGCATATGGATCTTAGTGGAATCAATAGGATACCTAAAATTAATAAACCGGAACCAGTTGCAATAAGAACTGCTGAATATTGTGCAGCTTCAGCTCCAGGTGCTAATTGGACGAGTCCAACAACCAATCCCACTAATCCAAGGAGCATTGATCCCACCAATATGTGTAATGAATTCACCTGAAGGTAAAAAGGAATGTTTAAAAAAAAAAATTTTCTATAAAAAAAAGACTACCAAAGGAAAAATAAGAGAAAAACTGAAAATAAATATTGAAAAAAAAAAAAAAATAATAAAATTGGAAAATTATAATAAAGATAAAAATTAAACAATAATTATAAATAATAAAACTAACAAAAATAATAAATAATTATTATAAATAAAAAAAAATTAAAAATAATAATAATAAAAATGATAGAAATAACAAAAATAATAAATAATTATTATAAATAACAAAAATAATAAAGAATTATTATAAATAATAAAAATTAAAAATAATAATAATAAAAATGATAGAAATAATAAAAATAACAAAAATAATAAATAATTATTATAAATAATAAAAAATTAAAAATAATAATAATAAAAATGATAGAAATAATAAAAATAAAAAATAATAATAATATAAATAAAAAAAAATGATAAAAAATAGTAATAATAATATAAAAATTATTAAAAAAAAAAAAAATAATAATAATAAAATGAAGAGTAAAGATGAAATTTGTATAATATTTAAGTTTGATGAAAGAAGGATCAGGATTACGTAAATTCCTCTAATCAAAGTTTTGAAAATTTTTTGACTTGAAATTAAATACCTATATTTATATACAATTAGGGTTAGCAATCGATTAAATGAACACGAACCCATTACAAAACTGCCATGAGCCGAAAAGGATCCACTTCATCACTAAATATAGAAAGCGAAAATCCATATACACCTCACATATATATATATATTATTATTAAATTCATATACCCTAGGTCCAAATTTTATTGTTTCATAGAAAAAAAAAATGACTCAAACATTATTCTAAAGAAAATAAAAATAAAAAATTTCTCACAAAATTATTGTAAATTGAAAATATATGTTTCTTTATATATTTATATATTAAAATATTATAATAAATAACTATATAAATGAAAAATATATAAATTATAAACAATATAAATAATAATTTATTTATAATAATAATAATAATAATAATAATAATAATAATAATAATAATAATTTGTTAATATTTATTATTTTATTTATTTATAATAATATTATAAATAATTATTATTATAATAAATTATTTATTATAATAAAAAATATAATTGTCTGACTATAACCGCCTTTTACTACTCCCACGAATTTTAAACATTTTGCCTGATGAAAATAATTACAAAACAAGTTTTCTGTCTGACTAAAACTGTTTTTACTACTTACTAAATTGTACAAATTTTTTAAGCCTTCTGAATAATTAAAAAGGGCCTTTTCTTTTCCTATAATGAAAATTATTGTCACAATTATAATTATCAAATAGATAACTTATCATTTTGAAAATTAAATAATTAATTTTAAAAATTAATTTTTAATTTTTAAAATTGAATAATTAATTATGAAAATTAATAATTAATTTTGAAAATAAATTTTTAATTTTGAAAATTAATTTTTAATTTTGAAAATTAATTTTTAGTTTTGAAAATTAGTTTTTAGTTTTAAAAATTAATTTTTGATTTTGAAAATTAAATAATTAATATTGATAATTAATCAATTAATTTTCAAAATCCATTCCATGAGGTTCTTTTTCTCATTGCAATTATAGATTTTTTAAATTGGATTTGAAAAACCAAAAAAAAAAATAGAAAATAAAAATTTGTGTAATAAAGTTTTATTACAGTTTCAAAATAAAATATTATCCATTTCTAAATTTTCCACAATATCAATTAATGACTACTATTAAATTATTAATCGATTATTCAATTATAAATAAAATTTGTTTAATTTTTCAATCAATAATTTTAATTATTAATTTTAATTTATTAATTAATAATTTACTGTAAATAATTTCACATAGAAATTTTCTTTTTTAATATTATTAAAACTATAAATAAACTAATAAATAAATAACTTAATATTTTTTTCTAATTTCCCTAATTAAATCAATAAAAAAAATTTGGAAAACTTTTTTTTTATGTATTTATGGAAAATGGAGTAAAACTTTGGTAATACTTGTAATTTGTAATATTCCGTTACAAGATTTACAAAGACCAAGACAGCTTTATATAAACTTTTTCTATATATAAATAAAAAACATCTTATGAAAAGAAATTATTTCTTACCTAAATATATATGAAAAACCAATAAATTATGTATTATAATTACCGGATTTTATAAAAAAAAATGTTTCGAATTCAAAAAGAAGTGTGACATTTCGATGAAAAGTGGAAAATCTTTTTTTTTTGTATTATCAGAATTTGTAATTTAACTAATTTACTATCAAAATTAGTTGTTTGGTATTTAAAAAAAAAATAAAAAAAAATTTTATCAGGATGTAATAAAATAGTGGAAGGATGCTCAAGGGAATAGAAAATGAAATGGTGGCAATTATTGTTAATTGAGATGGCACAATGAGAGCAAGAGAGATAGCTATCTATTTTCAGGGTGACCAGTGTATCAACATTGACAACCTAATAATCGTATATGTGACGCCCACGTGTTCTCTGCTTTTGACGTCACGATTATACTATCACATTTTTCCTTTACGCTCATACATTATTATGTCCTTGTCGTCATTTTCTTTTTTTTTTTGCATTCCCAAATCAAAATTAATTTATAATTACAAAAAATGTAATATTTTTCTCTTTTTATTAATTTTTTTTTTTTATTCAAAATTTTACCTGCAATTTTCTTTTTTTTTGGGCAAATAAAATTGATGATTTGACGTAAATTGCAAATTAAAAAATTAATTTAATAAATAAAATAAATTTTCTAATTTTATTATTTATTAATAAATAATAAATATCCGTTCAACGCCGAAAGGCATAAATAATAAATAAAATAAATTTCATAATTTTATTATTTATTAATAAATAATAAATAAAATAATAATAAAAAAGGCGCATGAATTTCCCCCATAAAAATAATTAATTAGAATTTTTTTTCCTATTTTATTATAAATAATTATTTTTTAGACGAATTTTCAATTTTCGAATTCTTTGGATTTTCTTTTTATACGAATTAGTTTAAAATAAATAATTATAGTAAAATTCTAATTAATTATTTTGCATCGAATAATCATTAAAAAAAATTAATTATTTTTAAATTTTATTGATTTAAAAATAGTTTTTTTTTGTAAATTATTTTGTATTTTTAAATTTAATTAAATTACATTGCCCTACAATGAAAAAACAAGTGACATTTCTTTTTTGTCGTAATTTTTCCATTCTAGGGCAGTATAAAAATTAAAATATTATTAGCATAAATAAATAAATGTCGCTTTAAAAACTCATTTCCTAAAGGGCTTTTCATATTGAAATAAAAAACAATATAAAATAAAGAATGGAATAATTAAAAAGTTTTCAAAATGAAATAAAATTTTACACAATCGTAGGAGTTATTTCTGGAGAAAAGAGTTGATTCCAAAAAAAAACCCTTGTAATAAATTTAATATTAGAAAACTTTTTTTCTAGAATAAAAGACGTGCCCTTTGAATTTAATAAATAATTGTGACGTGTTTTCTATATAGAAATATTTAATATTATTCCCACTCATTTATTTTGCTAAATAATAAATTAAATTAAAATCTAATTTTATGTAAAAATATAATATAAATATATAAATTATAAACAATATAAATAATTATTTATTTATTATATTATATTAATAATAAATAATAATAATTTATTAATATTTATTATTTTATTAATTTATAATAATATTATAAATAATAATTATTATTATAATAAATTATTTATTTTAAACGAATTTTATTTCCACGAATTTTAAACATTTTGCCTGATTGAAAATAATTACAAAACAGGGTTTCTGTCTGACTAAAACTGTTTTTACTACTTACTAAATTGTACAAATTTTTTAAACCTTCTGAATAATTAAAAAGGGCCTTTTCTTTTTCTATAATGAAAATTATTGTCCCAATTACATTCAAATAAATAACTTATCATTTTGAAAATTAAATAATTAATTTTGAAAATTAATTTCTAATTTTGAAAATTAATTTCTAATTTTGAAAATAAATTTTTTTTTAATGATTAATTTTGAAAATAAATTTGTTTTTAATGATTAATTTTGAAAATAAATTTTTAATTTTGAAAATTAAATAATTAATTTTAATATTTAATTTTTAATTTTTTATATTTAATATTATTCACACTCATTTATTTTGCTAAATAATAAATTAAATTAAAATCTAATTTTATGTAAAAAATATTTCCAAGAACGAAGGGATTTTTTTTTAAATTGTATCGCAAATGACTCAATTTTGAATTAGCAAAAAATTGTGGTCCTTTTTGCAATTAACAAAAAAAAAACAAATAAATATTTTATAAATCACTTCTCAGAATATAATAAAAAATATATAACCACCGTGGGTGGATCATTCTTCAATTTCTCATCTAAAAAAAAAACCCTTTTCGGATAAAATACATTTTACCATTTAAATGGCCATCAAGAAATATTCGATAAACGAAGTGATTTTTAATTTATATATCACAACTGGGATATGTTTCAATTTCATCCAAGAGAGAGATTTTATTACTAAAAAAGACAGTGAGAAATAAGATTGAATTCTCTGATATTGAAACAAACGAATATTTCCCTTTTCATTTTTATAAAAAAAAAAAAAACCTATTTGCCAAATGTCAACGATTATCAACTAAAAATATTTTTTTATTATTAGAAAATTTATTTATTTATTTTTTTAATTTCTCACTTTTAGAAACTGAAGAAAGTTTTCTATTTTTCTACTTTTATTTTATTTGTTTCTTAAAAAGTTAACAAATTTTTCGAAAAAATATTATAATGTAAAGGCTTTTATTAAAATCGAGACACAAAAAACAAAAGCTTGCGATTTTTCTCTTTTTCGAATCGAAAGGCCACTTAAAATGGAGTGTTATCCATTTCAAGGTTAAAATGAGACAAAAAAAAAAAGTGTCGAGATTCACTTTTTTTTGAAATGGTCGAATGCTCCTGAATATTATGTGAACTCGTCTCTAAACATTCGCGAACGCGATTTTATCGATTTCCCTATTATTTTTCTTGTTTCGATATAAAAACAAAAATTTCCCAATAATATTGTCTGCAATTTTTAATAATCCTTCTAAAAAGGTCACTCTAGTTTTTTTATCGAAAAAAAAAGAAATGGGAAAACAAATTTTCAATAAAATTCCAAAATTAAGAATTAAAATTAAATAATAATTGAATAAAAGGTAAAAAAATTAATAAATTTAAATCAAATTAATTCCAATTAATTAATTCAATTAAATATTTTTATAAATTTAAAATATTAAATATTAATATTTAATTTTTTTTCTATTATTTTTTGATTTTCAAAATGGGAAAATTTCAAATTCAATTAAAAAAACAAAAAAAAAAAAAATAGGGATTAAATTTTCCGAAAATTTTTATATAAAAATTTGCTTTGCCCTTTTTTTTAATTCGAAAGGGATGTGTAATTTGAGATGATAAAAATTATTTATTTTTTTCCATTTACCTTTCCACAAAAATAGTACTCTGGAGGCTCTTTGTCTACTAACGCAACAACTGCTTCACTATCGGCTAATGGACTTCCAGGTTGACTACTTCCTATTCTCGAACCCTTTTCTTGATAGTAAGTTTTGTGAAAAACCTTCACCGAAGGTACTGGCAACGCCGTTATCATTCTGAAAAATAGAATAAAAAAATCCCTTTCTTTAATTTATAATAAATATTTTATTTTTTATATTTTTTAATTATTATTATTATTATATTTTATTATTATTATATTTATTATATTATAAATTATTATTATATTATATTTATAAATAATAATAATAATAATAATAATAATAATAATATGTCATTGTATTTGTTTAGAAAATGAAAAGTTTTTTCAGAAAAAAATAATTAAATAACTGATTTTTTTTTTGGAAATATAAAAAATTTAATTGCATTAATTATTAAAAATTTTAAAAATAATAAAAAAAAAATGAAAAAATGAATTAGAAAACTATAAGAAAAAATTTCATTGTATATAAATAAATAAATTCCAGAAACTTGATTTAACAAAGGTACAAAATCAGGATGAGTGATAACGTTTCGAGGTCGATACTAAAAGTAGAACACCTCTCGAATCTACGACGTCCCTTTCAAAGTAATTATTCTTTTTTTTTTTTTTTTTTTTAAAAAAAAAGTTTGTCTGACCCATGCATGACTATTACTACTTGTTTGGATCTTGAAAACTTTTAATTTATCTTTCTAACAATATAATCGAAAAAAAAATTTATCCAATTATATCAATAGAAATATAATTTTGAATTTGTTTTTTAAAATTATATATTAACAATAAAATTATAATATTAAAGAATATTTTTATTACATTTAAAAATTTTTTAAAAAAATTAAAAAAAAAATTATCAAGAGATGAAATTAAAAAAAAATACAAAAAAAATTAAATTAAAAAGCAAATACTTCGATGAAGTTATAAAGAAAGTAAATATATTGTAAAAAAATCAGAGTTTGATATTTAATTTATTTTTTTTTTTTTATTATTTTTTATTATTTTCAGATATTAATTTGGCCTTGAGAAGGGTGTCAAGAGGCCACTGAAACGTGAGGTTTTTAATTAATTTTTAATTTGTACTTTTTTATGTTTCTCCAAGGAGTGCATTTTAAAATAAAAGTAAATTAGACAATTTAAAGGTAGAATTACACTCAATTACTAATTAATTCAAAAATTCATTAGTTTTTAAGGTCATATATAATATATATGTATATTAAAATAAAATAAATAATACAAAAATAATAATAATAAATTTTTTATTTTATTTTTTATAATTATTTAAATTATTATTATTTTTTGTATTAAATTATAACAATTTTATAAATAACGGATGTATAATTAATTCAACAATAATGAATTATATTTTAATTATAATATATACCGATTATATTTATATTATTTATTTTATTATAATATTATATTTATAATATATATTATACTTTATTATATTTATTTATTTATAATATTAATTTTCGTTAGAGTGTGAATATTCCTAACTACTTTTATAAATTTTAAACATTTTGTCTGACTAAAAACAGATTTTTACTACTTATTTCAGAATAAAAAAAAAGTTGTCTGACCAAAAATGTTTTTACTACTTACACTACGAGAATTGAAAACTGTTTGTCTGACTAAGTGCCTTTTACTACTTTTCACTTAATTAACAAAAATTTTTATAATGTCTGACTGTAACTGCACTTTACTACTGATAAATTGTCAAAAATTTGAAAATTTCTTGTCTGACTAAAACTGTATTTTACTACTGAAACAAAAATTTTTGTCCGATGTCATTTTTTTTTACTGAATAATAAAATATTTGTTCTAAATTTTTTTTCATTTATTTATTTATGAAAATAAAATAAAAATTTATAATTTTTAAAAAAATCATATAAAAATAGAAAAATACTTTTTTTTTTGCATTAATTTTTTTTCCTCCTTACAAATGTAATAAAAAAGCTTTTGATCTCTTTTTGATAATATTGACAGATTAATCGGATGTCTGTCGATTGTAAACTTATTAAAGATACTTCTTTTTAAATATAGATGAAAAATGAAAAACCACAGGAAATGTCAATATTTATAAAAATGGAATCAAATGAAAATAAAAAAAAATTTTACACACGTGCCAATGTTTCTATTATTCCTATATATATTTATTGCACAAAAAAAATTTTAAAGAGAATTTTTAAAAATAAAAAAGTAGTTTAACTAAAAAAAATGGTTTAGAATTTTTTTTATAAGGGACGAAATTTGTGCAAAAAATAGAAATCTCATCAAAAATAGAAAAAACGTTTTTCACAAATTTTTTTTTTTTTTTCTAAAAGAACCTTGGATTTTTTTCTCCTATTCTCCTTGAATTTTTTAACTTCTGACTAAAATGTCAGGTTTTCAAATTATGAAAAGGTAAAAAAAAATGTTTCTTCAAATTAATGTAAAATGCAATTAAAAAGTTTTTAAATTATTCTTTAAAAAAAATTGGTGGGGGAAAAAGTATAAAAAAAATACAAAACTAATAAAAAAAATAATAAATTTTCGAATTTATAAAATAAAATTCTACAAAGATTGTAAATATCATACACGTGTGCAAGAATTTCTTTTTTCTAAATGAAAAAAAAAAATTTTTGTTGTTGATACGATAAATAATTAACTTTTTTTTAACACGCACGTAATTTTAACGGGATTAAAAAAAATTCAATTATTTTTTCAGTTATAGAAACAATATTTATATTTTTCATAAAATCAAAAGTATATGAAAAATTACTGAAATTATTTATTTCAGTAAAAAAAAAAATTACTGAAATTATTTATTTCAGATAAAAAAAAATTACTGAAATTATTTATTTCAGTAAAAAAAAAAAATTACTGAAATTATTTATTTCAGTAAAAAAAAAAATTACTGCAATTATTTATTTTAGTAAAAAAAAAAAATTACTAAAATTATTTAGTTCAGTAAATTTTATTTTATTATTATTTTTATCAAAAAAAAAAAATTTTTGATTTGAAAATATAATTTATTATTTTATCAATTGGCAAAATGGTCGATAGAAAAAAAAAATTACAAATATCAGTTGTCCATTTCGAAGACATTTACAAGAGAGAAAGAGAGAGAGAGAGAGAGAGAGAGAGAGAGAGAGAGAGAGAGAGAGCAATACGCTTTTGCAGACGATATTACTGTTGCCCTAGATAGACTTTCTGCGGGGCCGACGGCCGTTGCTCTTCGTGAGAGTTATCGAACAATTTTATAAAGGTGTAACTGCGACTTCTTTTTTTTTTTTTTTTACAAAGAGATTAGAATTTTTTTTTTTTTTTCCATTGAAAATTATAAATATTTATTTAACAAAAAAAAAAAAATTGACTTTTCTATTTGCTCAACGCATATTTATAATAGGGGTATAATATACTTGTTATCGGATAACGAAGCAAAAAGGGGGTAGAGAAGAGGGGGAGGGGGCGGAGGGGAACCTTGACCTCATTAAGCCTCACTCCAAAGAGAACAATAATAGATCACACAATCCTAATTTCAGCTTTAAATATTCATTTACTTCTCTCCAGTCTCATCACAACACACTTTCTGAATGTAATTAACATCATTTTGTACTATTCAAGGTTAGTTGCAAAAAAAAATTTTTTTTTATAAATTTCATCCAATTAATTTGAAAAAAAATGTTCTCCTCTTTAATTTTGTCCTCGTTTAATGAGATTAATTTTTATTTAAAAAAAAAAAAAAAAAAAAAACAAATACAAAAAAAAGTTATTAAAAATATTGGAAATATTCTTTCATCTATCACCCAGAAAAATGATTTATTTGAACCAAATAAAATATATTTAAGTTAAATAAACGTATATTTGTCTCAGAACCTACTAATATATTTATTTGGTGTAAATAAAAATTTTATTTGACATAAATAAATTTTTCTTTAGTTGAAATAAATTTTTTATTCCAATGAAATAAAATATATTTGCAACAAATAAATGAGTTAGTAGGCTCTGAGACAAATATACTATTTCTCTGAGTGTATTTTTGGTACTTTTTAGAGTAATTATTATTATTATTATTATTATTATTATTATTATTATTATTTAGTTAATTTTATTAATATTATTATACTTATTCATTTGAAAACTAATTTTTTTTACTATTATAAATATTTAAAAGGCTGAAACATTTATTTATTAATTTTTAATGATTTTTAAAAAATGAAATGTGGATTTTTCAAAAAAAAAAAAACCAGTTTCCATCTTTACACCAATATTTATTATTATTATTTGATATAAAAAAATAAATTTATTTTTCTCTATTTTTTTTATTGTTTAAACTTCTGTTATTTATTTATTTCACAAAAAATTAAAAGCTATTAAAATAAGCTGCAACGCTTATTATTTTAATTCAATTTTGATTATTTTAATTCCAAAATAGATTAAAATAAGCAAAATTGGATTAAAATAATAAGCGATGTAGCTTATTTTAATGCCTATTAATTTTCTGTATTATGTACGGGACTAAAAAGAATTTTTTTACAAATAAATTGTAATAAAAATACTTATAATTATAATTAATAATAATTATTTGAATAAAATAATAACAATAATATACCAATAATAATAATAATAAGTCCCGTATAAAAATAAATAAATAAATAAATAAATAATAAAAATTATTAGTTTTAAATAATAATTAATATTAATAATAAATAATAATTATTATTTTTATATCATAATAATTATACAGAGGAAAAACATTAAATTATTATAATATTATTATACATTATTTTATTTATTATAATGATATTATTATATTAAATAATTAACTATTTAGTGAATATAATTAAAAATAATAATAATGAATAAAGTATTGGAAAATTATTTAATTATTAAATAATATTAATAATAAATAATAATAATTGTTATTTTGTTATAATTATTATTAATTAATTATTTAGTAAATTTATTTAGTAATTATAGTAATAAGTCTTTTTATTCCAAAAGTTAAAACAATAAAAATAATAAACAAATAATAAGAGTAAAAAAAAAATATAAAAAAAAAATTTTCAAATTTCTTTTATTAAGAGAGTTAAGTGATATATATATATTTTTCTGTATATAATTTCTAATCTACACTTTTCCCTCGATTTGGAGTTTTTCTTTCAAGTGGAATCTCTTGTTTTTTAAGTGACTCATATAAGAAAAATGCCACATAGATAGTTTTGTATATCGTGAACAGGAAATGTGAGGAGGTAAGAAGAGGGGGGGGGCGGTGGGGGTGGATTGAGGGGTGGGGGAGAAAATGTGAGGGGGGGTACAAAGGAATAAAGTGGGTCAGTGGCCTGGATCGGTGCTTTTACTTTGAGAGAGAGAGAGAGAGAGAGAGAGAGAGAGAGAGAGAAAGAAAGAGAGAAAGGGTTAGTAGTAGTAGTTGTGTAGTAGGCACCCCGATGTGCAGCCCACCTTCATTTCCTCGCACTTGGAATTTTGCCAAGAAGTTCCTGACGAGACATATGGAGAAAAAAAAAGGAAAAAGAAAGCTTAGCAAAATTCTCGCACATCAATTTTTTTTATTTTTTTTTATAATTATTTTTCTCTCCCAATATTAAATTAATTAATTTAAAAAAATCTATTTTCTATTTCTCTATATTAATCAAATATTTGTCTATACTATTTTGTTATTTTTATTTTATTTAAATTAAATTAATTATTATTATTTATTATAATTTATTTTATTTTTATTTATTATTATTTTTTATTTGTCAAATTTGAAAAAACAGTTTTTTCAATTTATTTATTTCAACTTTGAATTTTATTTTCTTTTTCGATTTAATGGAAGAAAAATTTTGATACTTATTTTTTTTACATCTCTAAAATATTGTGGGCGTTCGATTTTTTTTTATATCATCGCCGTATGTCATAAATCGTAGGTGGTTCACCCTATCGTTGGAAGAAACCAAACTGCAGGGGTGGAAACAATTTTCGCAATTTCCACCCCCGTCTCTTTACTCCTGCGTTAAATAAATAGTTTTTGAACTTTCCTCAAAATGTAATTTATACAAAAATTTTCAAAAATAATTTTTTAATTTCTCTCTTTTTATTTCAAAAAAATTTTTTTTTTCTATTATTAATACTTTTCTATATATATAGAAAATTATTTTAAAAAAATAAATTTTGAAATTTTATTACAAAATCAATTTAACGACTAAAAAAATATTGTTTCAATAAATAAATAAATTAATTAATGTAAAAAAAAAATTTAAAAAAAAAGTAAAAAAAATTATATATAAAATTATTTTGTAAAAAATAAATTTTGAAATTTTATTATAAAATCAATTTAACGACTAAAAAAAAAATTGTTTCAATAAATTAATTAATTAATGTTAGGGGAAAATATTAATTTTCCGAAAAAAACACAGGCAAATAATAAAATTATAATATTTCTCGTGAATAATGAAAATAAATTTAGCAATCGGTCACTGGCCATCTATAAACACGTGAATTCTTCGTGCATTGACACCAGAGCACTAGTGCACTAAATTCATTTCTACATCGCCTGGCCGGATTCCAGGGCCAAACTATATCTGCAAAACGGATTTGGTAACACAGCAGTGCAACGAGGTCAGTGGCCGGCGCAACCATTTGCAAATTCCACTCAAGTTGACCCTCCCATATAAAAATTTTTTTTTTTTTTTTTTCCCTCATTATTTTTACCTACTTTCCATTTTTAAACACTCGCAGAGAAAAAAAAAATTTTTTTTTACAGTCACATGAATTTTGACCCTATTAATATTTTTTTTTTTTTTTTATTTCTAATCTTTAAATTTATGAATATTTAAAATAATTACTTCAGTAAAATAAATAATAAAATTTAAAAAAATTGGATTTTATTATTTTTTATTTTTATTTGATTTATTTTATTATTATTATTTTTTTTTTGATATTTAAATTAATTTTGTAAAATAGTGATAATAAAATTTAACTAAATTTGGAAAAAAAAGTAATATTTTTTACTGATAATTTATATAATAGTTTATATAATAATGAAAATGTTTTTCGCGATTGAATTAATTCCGGTGAAAACAAAGTAATCGATAAGACCGCATGATGTTTGTGAAATCCCATATAAACCCGTAAAACGCAGGTTAATACACATTTTCTGCAAACTAGGTCATTCGTTCGTTGACTCAGTTGAAAGAAAATACATCAAAGAAATAGGGAAAATTTCAAGGATCGCGACGATTCATTGCATATATATATATATAAATATTTATATATATATATATATATATATATATATATATATATATCCTCAATTTAATCTCAAATCATTATATTTTTTTTTCACATTATAAATTTTAATTTTTTTTATTCCGTTATAATTTTGAAAATAAAATTTTTACATTTGCCGAAATTTTTGCTAAAAAAAAGAGACGAAAAGATAAAAAAAATTTTTTTTATATTAATTATAATAAATTAATTATTTAATTATTAAATTTATTATAATAAATCGTAGATGAAAAATAAAAAAAATATTAACTGGTTCCAAATAAATAATTTAGGTAAATATTAATATTAAAATAAATATATATTATACATTAATATTAAAATAAATATATATTATATATTAAATTAATTAATTAATTAATTAAATAAAATATTGTATTAAAATACTATTATCATTTTATATTATAGAATATAAAACTATTTTTTTAAATTTTACAATGATTGTAATTTTTTTAATTTTACAATTAATATAAATTTGTAAATATTTTGCAAAAAAAAAATTAAAAGTTCTAAACTTTCTTTCAGAATTGTCACATTTTTTTTTAACTATATTGTTTTTTTATTTCTTTTCCATAATTATTTTATCTGTATATTAATTTTTTTCTATCTTTACTGTTCTTGTATCTATGAATTTATTATTAATTATTAATTATTAATTATTAATTATTATTTTTTTATTATTTATTTATTATTAATTTATTATTTTATTATTTATTTATTACTATTATTAATTCTTTAATTTAAATCTTCATCCTAATTCGAAAAATTAATTTAATTTACAAAATAAAATAAAATAGAAAAAAAATTTTCTACATTAAAAATTGTTTAATTTCCAAACTTACTATATAAATGATTAGAAATTATATATATATATATTTATTAATTATTAATCTATAATTAATAATAAAAGCTAAATAAATTTTTGAAAAATATTCTTAATAATCAGCTATTTTTTAATATTTTATTATAACTGTATTTATCAAAATGTAAATTAAATAATAATAAATGTATTTACAAGTAAAAAATAGTGTAAGAAAGTAAAATATTAATAATAATAATAATAATAATAAAAAAAAAAATAATAATAATAATAATAATAATAAATTTGTTTATTTATTAATAAATAATTTTTTAATAAATAATTTATTAATAAATTTGTTACTTTGTAATAAGTACTCAAAGGAGAAAATAAATCTTCGCCTAGGACAGTGATATGTTTTACTAAAACAGCAAAAGTTTTCGCTAATCGAGAGAAATATATCGCTATTCCAGAGAAACTTATCGCTGTTACAGGTGAAGATTTTTTTGCATGTAATTTATTAAAAATAAAATAATTATTATTTATTTACGAAGAGTATATTTATGATTTATGAAAAAAAATGGTTGATAAAGAAAAACGAAAATTTGTCAAAAAAAAAAATCTAATCATTAAAAGAAAACAATTTTATTACGCAAAAATTGAGATTTAATGCGCATCTTGAATAAATATTCCAGACAAAAGTGGAGACGAGATTGGTTCATTCAATACAATGGCGGCTCTATTTCTCTCTTTCTCTCTCTCTCTCGATGACTTCATTTCAAAGACTATATACACATTTCACAAAAAATAAAATTAAATCTCACTAATTTGTGCAAATATTTTTCTTCTTTTTCAATTTTTAATAGAGAAAATAATTTTCAATTGAATAACAAAATAATAATAATAATAATAATAACAAAAATAAATCTGATTGTTTACTTTTTTTTTTGCGTATTATTGCATGGTGAGAGAGAGAGAGAGAGAAAAGGACCGTAAAAGATTTTTACTTACGTTATAACGGATGCAAAATTTAGGATGTTTTTTTTTCTTTTCAAATTTAATTTCCTGTTATTGGTTGTTTTTTTTTCGTTTTTACACTCACAGAAAAATTTTAAATTTCTTTCAATTGGTACATTGAGAATATATATATATATATATATATATTGTTTGAGAAATAAAGATTATAAAAGACGCGACTGACGTGATTCGAGAGCGGTGTCTTTTTATAGGGGTGCTGGTCTTGTGAATACTGAGAGAGAGAAGCTTTGCGAGGTCCGTGTCCTGATCGATAAACCACCCCCAAAATCACCCACTTTTCTCTCCTGCTAAGGGTACCTTCACACCATCCAGGGCCGTATTAAATCTCATCTCTCACAATTTTCTCATTTTTATTTTATTTTATTTCTATTTTTATTTATTTTTATTATTTTTATTTCTTTCTATTTTTATTTATTTTTATTTATTTCTATTTTAATTTATTTTAATTTATTTTTATTTATTTCTATTTTAATTTATTTTAATTTATTTCAATTTTTATTTATTTGTATTTTATTTTTATTTTCTCAATATATGAATAAACAAAAAATTTAATTTTCAATTAATGCCTAATTGAAATAATAATAAATTAGTTTAAAAAAATTTTTTTTAGTAATTTAAATTAGTGAAATTTAAAAAAAAATTTCGAAGTACTTTTTCCTGTCTATTTTGGTTGTGATTCGCTATCGCATCGCAAAAGAGATAATTGAGGATTGAAATTAGTCCACTCATTGCGGTTGATTATTAAATTACACAGCTGATTATTTAATTATAAAATGTATTAATCTATTACTAAAATCAGAATAATTAATATTAAATATTTTTATTCTCCAAATCTGAATTATAGTAAAAAAAAATTTAATTAATTTTTAACGAAATTAAAATTAGTTAAAATTAACAATAAAAATTTTACTAATAAAAAAAAAATTTATTCGATTCAAATTCCACTGAAAACAAATTTATTATATAAAATAATATATTTTATATAATTTTTTATAATTTTTTATAATTTTATAATTTATTATAAAATAAATATTTATTTAAATATTGAACCAAATAATTTTTATTTAAATAAATTTTATATGAATCAATAATTTTTGTATTTGAAACAAATACCATTTCAAAATAATAATAAATATATTATTATTTTGAAATGGTATTTGTAATAATATTAGTAATAAATAATTCAAGGCTAAATTAATTTTACTATTTAAAATTATTAAATATTTTTATTATTATTATTTATTATTTATTATTATTATTATTATTTATTTTACTATTTAAGTAAATATTTATTAGTTATTTAAAAAATTTATTTTTTATTTTTATAATTTATTTGAATGAAAATAAATTTTTTTTTTCAGTGATAGTAAAATTTACGTACATAAACTTAGCGAAACAACTTCAAAAACCAAAAGTCTTATATAGACCAAAATTTGCCGCTTTTTAGTCGCTAATTAGTTGTGAAAAAAAAAATTTTGTCGCTCTTCAATTTTTTTTAAAATAGGGTGCTTTGCTAAGTTTACATAAAGTTAGCGAAGCACCCATTCTAACTCCGTTGTTTACAAAGATTCACAAAATTCTTCTTGACAGAAATTTGCCGTTTTTTTGCCGTAACAAGACCAAATAATTCATTTTCCAAAAACCCAAAAAATTAATTAAAAAAATTTAAAAAAAAAAATTTTTTAATTTCAAAAAAAAAATTTTTTTAAATTTAAAAATAAAATTAAGAAAAAAATTTTTATACGAACTGTAAATGAATGTAAATTAAACAACTGCAGATGAATCACATAAGTACAGTAAAAAAAATGTAATTCATATAGAAAAAGAAAAACTTATTTGTTAAATTTTACATTAAACTAAATTAAATTATTTCATAAGAATTTAAAATCTATGCAAGAGAAAATACGTAATCATAAATTATAAAAAAAAATTAATCAACTACTCATACGAAGAACTACTCAAGCAAAAAAAAATATTCTTAAAAAAAATTAATTTCATTACCTCATTTCACTTACATATAACTAACTACAAAACTTTCATTAAAAATGTTAATTGTTATTAAAAATCAATTTTTTACTTCATTTTTGACGTTAACTTTTTTAAAACAGTATTTATCAATTTTAATTTGTCACGACAAAATCGAAACCAAATGAAATGATCTTAATAGTCAAAGCGACAAATTCCCCAAGTAAAATTTGAATTAAAAAAGTTAATTGATATTAAAAATCACATTTTCAATTTCGTTTCCGACTTAAAATTTTTTTAATCACTATTTATCAATTTTAATTTGTCACGACAAAATCGAAACCTACTTGAATACACTTAATAGTCAAAGCGACAAATTCCCCAATTAAAATTTTCATTAAAAAATATTAATTGTTATTAAAAATCACATTTTCAATTTCGTTTTCGACTTAAAATTTGCTTAATCAATATTTATCAATTCTAATTTGTCACGACAAAATCGAAACCTACTTGAATACACTTAATAGTCAAAGCGACAAATTCCCCAATTAAAATTTTCATTAAGAAAAATTAATTGTTATTAAAAATCACAATTTCAATTTCGTTTTCGACTTAAAATTTTTTTAATTCGTATTTATCAATTTTAATTTGTCACGACAAAATCGATACCTACTTGAATACACTTAATAGTCAAAGCGACAAATTCCCCAATTAAAATTTTCATTAAAAAATATTAATTGTTAATAAAAATCACATTTTCAATTTCGTTTTCGTCTTAAAATTTGATTAATCCATATTTATCAATTCTAATTTGTCACGACAAAATCGAAACCTACTTGAATACACTTAATAGTCAAAGCGACAAATTCCCCAATTAAAATTTTCATTAAAAAATATTAATTGTTATTAAAAATCACATTTTCAATTTCGTTTTCGACTTAAAATTTTTTTAATCACTATTTATCAATTTTAATTTGTCACGACAAAATCGAAAACTACTTGAATACACTTAATAGTCAAAGCGACAAATTCCCCAATTAAAATTTTCATTAAAAAATATTAATTGTTATTAAAAATCACATTTTCAATTTCGTTTTCGACTCAAAATATGTTTAATCATTATTGATCAGGTTTAATTTGTCACGACAAAATCGAAACATAATTGAATACACTTAAAAGTCAAAGCGACAAATTCCCCAAGTAAAATTTTCATTATAAAAGATTAATTGTTAATAAAAATCACATTTTCAATTTCGTTTTCGACTTAAAATTTGTTTAATCAATATTTATCAATTCTAATTTGTCACGACAAAATCGAAACCTACTTGAATACACTTAATAGTCAAAGCGACAAATTCCCCAATTAAAATTTTCATTAAGAAAAATTAATTGTTATTAAAAATCACAATTTCAATTTCGTTTTCGACTTAAAATTTTTATAATTCGTATTTATCAATTTTAATTTGTCACGACAAAATCGAAACCTACTTGAATACACTTAATAGTCAAAGCGACAAATTCCCCAATTAAAATTTTCATTAAAAAATATTAATTGTTAATAAAAATCACATTTTCAATTTCGTTTTCGTCTTAAAATTTGATTAATCCATATTTATCAATTTTAATTTGTCACGACAAAATCGAAACCTACTTGAATACACTTAATAGTCAAAGCGACAAATTCCCCAATTAAAATTTTCATTAAAAAATATTAATTGTTAATAAAAATCACATTTTCAATTTCGTTTTCGTCTTAAAATTTGATTAATCCATATTTATCAATTTTAATTTGTCACGACAAAATCGAAACCTACTTGAATACACTTAATAGTCAAAGCGACAAATTCCCCAAGTAAAATTTTCATTAAGAAAAATTAATTGTTATTAAAAATCACATTTTCAATTTCGTTTTCGTCTTAAAATTTGATTAATCCATATTTATCAATTCTAATTTTTCACGACAAAATCGAAAACTACTTGAATACACTTAATAGTCAAAGCGACAAATTCCCCAATTAAAATTTTCATTAAGAAAAATTAATTGTTATTAAAAATCACAATTTCAATTTCGTTTTCGACTTAAAATTTTTTTAATTCGTATTTATCAATTTTAATTTGTCACGACAAAATCGAAACCTACTTGAATACACTTAAAAGTCAAAGCGATAAATTCCCCAATTAAAATTTTCATTAAAAAATATTAATTGTTAATAAAAATCACATTTTCAATTTCGTTTTCGTCTTAAAATTTGATTAATCCATATTTATCAATTCTAATTTGTCACGACAAAATCGAAACCTACTTGAATACACTTAATAGTCAAAGCGACAAATTCCCCAATTAAAATTTTCATTAAAAAATATTAATTGTTAATAAAAATCACAGTTTCAATTTCGTTTTCGACTTAAAATTTTTTTAATTCGTATTTATCAATTTTAATTTGTCACGACAAAATCGAAACCTACTTGAATACACTTAATAGACAAAGCGACAAATTCCCCAATTAAAATTTTCATTAAAAAATATTAATTGTTATTAAAAATCACATTTTCAATTTCGTTTTCGACTTAAAAATTTTTTAATCACTATTTATCAATTTTAATTTGTCACGACAAAATCGAAAACTACTTGAATACACTTAATAGTCAAAGCGACAAATTCCCCAATTAAAATTTTCATTAAAAAATATTAATTGTTATTAAAAATCACATTTTCAATTTCGTTTTCGACTTAAAAATTTTTTAATCACTATTTATCAATTTTAATTTGTCACGACAAAATCGAAAACTACTTGAATACACTTAATAGTCAAAGCGACAAATTCCCCAATTAAAATTTTCATTAAAAAATATTAATTGTTATTAAAAATCACATTTTCAATTTCGTTTTCGACTTAAAATTTTTTTAATTCGTATTTATCAATTTTAATTTGTCACGACAAAATCGAAACCTACTTGAATACACTTAAAAGTCTAAGCGACAAATTCCCGAAGTAAAATTTTCATTAAAAAAAAATAACAATTAATATTTTTTAATGAAAATTTTACTTGGGGAATTTGTCGCTTAGACTTTTAACCCAGACAGCACATAACATTGCGGCAATGTTGCGGCAATATTGGTGGGCAAGTTTCGCAATATTGCCTTGTAACATTACAGCAATGTTGCCACAACATTAAAATGTCCCACCTTGCTCAATATTGCACAGTAAGCTTGCCACAAGGTTATGTCA